TGTTACTGTTGCGGAGGCTGCAGTGTGCCTGTGGAGCCTCTGGGGACACTCTTTCGCCATGTGCTGCGGATTGTCGCAGATGTAACACTTCCTGTTCCCTCTAGGAGGCTTCGCTTTGACTGCTCCCGGTGTTAGGGCTCTGGTAGCTGACTGAGCCCTGGCGCCTCCAATCTCCATCGGTTCCTCTCCCCCTCCCTGCGGAGGTGTGGATTGCGCACGTGCTGCATCCCTGGGAAAGAGGGGAGGTGCTCTCGCTGGCGTGCGTCCCCAACGCCCTTCATCCTTGCTCCATGGACGTTCTTCCAGACGCACCCCAATTGTCAGCGCCCGCTGGACAATTTCCTGAGTGCTCTTTGGTCTCTCCCCCCTTGCAATTTCATCTTTAACATTTGCATTCAAGCCTTCCCAAAAAAGGTCTCTGACTGGAGCAGAATGTTTTTCCCAACCCAGCGCGTTGACCAATGCAAAAAAGCGAGAATGATACTGCCTTACAGTGGCTCTTCCTTGTTTCAAACCATGTATGTCTTTTCTGGCGATATCAATGTCTATATTAGATAAAAAACACGAATCCATCGCTTTAATGAATGCATCCACACTTTGGAGCGCCGGATCTTTATCTCTCCACAGATTACGCAGCCACGCTTTAGCGTCTCCATGCAAATGAGAGAAGATAAACCCCACCTTCTCTTGCTCATCTCTAAAGTCTTTATCCAGCAGTTGCAGCGCAAACAGCACGTCTGCTCGGAAGTTGGGGTACTGCTGTAAATTCCCATCGAAATGAGATACAAGGCTGCCTCCTCTCTTCCCCAGCCCAATTCCCTCTGATTTGGGTCCCGGTTGCCCCTGCTTAGTAAGCACTTCCAACCTGGCTTGGAGATCCCTGCAGGCGGCAGCCGCTTCGTCTTCCCTCTTCCTGGATGCGATTACCTCCGCGTTGAGTTGTGTCACTGCATTTTGCAGAGCTGCTATCTGCTGTTCTGTAGTCATCTTGCCTGACTTTTGTGAGCTCGCGAAGCACCAATCTTCGCCCCTCGCTGCGTAACCTCACGCTGCGAGGTTTTTGGTGCAAAAGGAGATGGAGCTTACTGTCAGAGCTGGCTCCAGGTCCCAGCTCACAGAGGACCAACGCTAGCCGGCAGTAATGTACAAAAGTCTTTATTGAAGTACAGTTTCCATTTCCAAACCAGAGCGCCCCAACTCTACGTCTTAGAGCTAGACCGGCGAAGCTCCATCTGAGTCTCCGCCCCCTGTACACCAGTTTAAGACTCTAACCTTACTCGACCTCTTCCGTCTCTCCTTTCTCCTCTGGGTCCTTCTACCCCCCGGGGTCCCTTCAGTCCTGGACTCTTCTGACGCTGATGCTGACCCCCCTGAGTCTCCTCCCTCCTTTCGGCGGGCTTTAGGACCTGGCTCCCTATCCGGGCTGCCCACTGCGCCGCCCTCTTGTACATTTGAACTTGGCGCGCGCGCCCAGTCTCCGACCTTCCTTTTGACCGTTTCCTCGCTCTCCGATGGAGGTGCGGCCAATCCTGACTCATGTCCTCCCGCTGGCAGTGCGCCGCCTGATCCCGATGCCTGGGACTCCTCCCCCCTACTGCGCTCTGGTGGAGAAGCTGGTCCTGATTTCCAACTGCTGCTCTCTGAGTCCCCTCTTGCCCCTTCTTCCTGGGGTGTCCCCCTAGGCACCCCCCTTGCTCTGACCATGGGAGCCCCTTTCTGTGAATCCTCCGAGTCGCTGGAGAGACTCAGAGACCTCGGACGGCTGTCATCGCTAACATTTCCTTCAGATTCCTCCCCCTCGGTCTCTATTTCCTCCCTCTCCTGTGCCTCTGCTCCTGAGCCCCTGACAGGTGCTAAATGCAGTGAAGTGCAGCAGCACAGAGGATTGTGGCTGGCTTTGTAGCATTCTGTCTGCTGCTCCACCCCTAGTTACTGACTTGTTTCGTTGCTATGGAGGGAAGAGTTGAGCTATCCCTCAATGCATGGATGCAGTGTTTTGTGAGAACTTCTTGGGCTCTCGTTGAGAAAAGCAGATGGTTAATCTGGGCTCACAGTCTTGACAGTTTATTCATCCTGATAATTGTGTTGCTTCAATGAATTCAATAAATTATTTCCCCCTGTCTTTGGAGTAATTCTGTTTCTCTAAAGAAAAAATGCCCAGCTGTTTAAAAAGAAAACTGTGTTGCTTTTAAGCTGTGACACCATCTATTGTGTGTCATTTCACACCGGAAAATAAAGATTAATCACATGTGAGTAAGACCTGCAACAAAATGTTGCAGTGTATCCTTCTTCCCTAATGCTCCTGTTCAGGATTGTAGCCAGCCATATGCTCCTCCCTATACACTGCAAGGGGCTCAAAAAGACCAGTCCATTCTCTCTGAATCCCCACCCCACCATTCCAGTTTTTCTTCTCCAAGTGATGCAACTTCCATGATTCCTGGAGGTAGTTGAGCTTGCTTAGTTTTTGGGAATGGGGGTTGCCCTTTTCGCTTTTGTTATTTTTTAATTTTATACTTCTGCAAGTTTCTCAGCAGCCCTGTTTTGATTCTAATCGTGTCAGCACCAGAGTTTACTAGTAGATGGAATGAGATACCCACCCAGCCCCGTCATCACACAGCACAATAACTTCAGAGATATGGCTACAGTTTCTATAATAATGATGACAATAATAATATTTAATGAAGATGACTATAAATATAAAAATCCCCAAACACTGGGTAGCAATCTGACTGTTATAGGGTGAAACTGAGACTCTCTTCTTATTATGGGCTGAAAGAAGACTCAATCTTTAGATTTATTTTTATTTTTCTGTTTCTGCCAAGTGGATTCTAGCAAGAAGTAGCCATTTTCTTGGTCCATGCTAAAGTGAATATGACTTTTATTTATAAAGGTTTCCTACTGAATTGTCAAAAGTGAATATTTTTAATTTAAAAAATTCTCACAAAAACTGCAAATATTTGGTAAAATATATTTTTCATTTGAGGTTGCCTCTCTTGGATTGCTAATACAGAAGGCTATCTCACAACTGGTTAATGTGAGGAAGCCTTACAATCTGGGGGGAAAACCCGTGACTGGGGCTAGCAGAGCTCACTACAAAACACAATCAACCAAGCAAATCTGTTGGGGGGGGGATAGTGAGCTGGTCTAGTCTGGGCCACTGAGAGAAGAATTAGGATCTTCTGCCTTCATGTGGAAATAAAATTTAAATTAACTAAAAGTTGTCACCCTTGATACGAGCGATGTATTTCATGAGTGTGAAGATAATGTGTGCCCCGTGGTGCTTATTCCCACCATTTAGTACTCACCTAAAGGCTACCCATAGACCAACCACATAGAGATATGTGTTTTCTGGTAGAATCGGAAATCAATTTGAATGAAATGCCTCTTGTCTTATTTTGCTTTTGCTAACCAATTAAAAATATTTGTATACTGTGTCTAACCATTTCTGACACAGGCTCATTAATGTTGCTGAGTGCCACAGCTCTGGTCATTTTGGGTTGTTTCCACAGACATACATTGGGAAAAGTTTGATCTTTGATCTTCAAACAAAACGACAAAAGACATCTCCTGGGATGCATACCCAGAAACAGCTGAATACATTTTTGTTCTGACAAAACTTTTCCAACTCCATAGAATCATAGAATCATAGAGTTGGAAGAGACCACAAGGGCCATCGAGTCCAACCCCCTGCCAAGCAGGAAACACCATCAGAGCACTCCTGACATATGATTGTCAAGCCTCTGCTTAAAGACCTCCAAAGAAGGAGACTCCACCACACTCCTTGGCAGCAAATTCCACTGTCGAACAGCTCTTACTGTCAGGAAGTTCTTCCTAATGTTTAGGTGGAATCTTCTTTCTTGTAGTTTGGATCCATTGCTCCGTGTCCGCTTCTCTGGAGCAGCAGAAAACAACCTTTCTCCCTCCTCTATGTGACATCCTTTTATATATTTGAACATGGCTATCATAACTTGCTCAATAGGTCCCTGCCATATAGATGTCCATTTTGTATTGTTTTAAACTTGCATTATGTTTGTGTGTTTGTTATGTTTGCACACTGTATTGTAACTTTTAAATATATATTTTATATATTGGGGGCATAGGTGGAAGGTGATTAATTGATTGGTTATAATGGCAGTGATAGATCTAGGAGGACCTCCAAGCTCCACACCTGCTCTTTCAAGGGGAGTGCAATCCCATCCAGAGCAGCTGTACAACCCAGTTGCCAGACCTGGGAACTGTCCACTGCTTCTTGTCAGCACTCCATCTTATAAAACCTCCTTGTCAGGACTCAACAATTTATTAGCTCTAATCCAGCCTATGATTGCATTCAGGCACCAGTTTAGGACATGTGCAGCTGCTCTTGATTCAGATGTTATAGAGTAATAATATTCATTCCATATAACAAATAATTCATGTATACTGTGTTATCTGTATGATGTTAGGCACTCTGAGCCTGGCTTTTGCTGGGGAGGGCGGTGTACAAATAATTATTTATTATTATTATTATTATTATTATTATTATTATTATTATTATTATTAAACTGTGCTTTTTAGTTGGATGGGAAATTCCTTAAACAGCCCTATAATGTGATCCAAACACCGAAATGAGGTGATTGCCCATTGAACTCATTAGAAACATCTTGAGCTAGAGAAAGTTGGAATCAATGGGACCTAAGTTAGGGCAAATCCAATTCTGTGTTTGAAGGATCTGAAACAGGAGAGTGCCCTCACCCTTCATGAACACCCTCTTTCCTAGACCCATTCTAAAAAAATAAAGTAAATAAAGTAAATAAAAAAGTGACTGGGACCCTGAAGGTAGCGAAGTCTTCCTTTGGAAGCAAGCACCTCCGATTGCTTCACAGTTCTAGCTTTCTGCATCTGATTTATTTCCCCTCTTTCGAAAAAAAATATGGTCGGATTGGCAGGTGGACGATTACCTTGCGACAATCTAGCAAGGGCTGGGAACGATTACTCACTGGAAATAAAGCGCGCGGGGGGGGGGAGCTTTGGGTCATGACGTGTTGGGTCTCTTTGCGGGATGAACTTAACAGTTTGTGGCTATAAGTAGGCGAGGGGGCGCCCAGACTGGGGGTCTGCTGTGTGCCCCGTGGCCCTGGGAGGCTGGCATCGGCGGGGTCGGCGCCTGGCAGCTTCGCCTGGTCCCCTTGGCATCTCGGGCTCACGCCGCTCCGCGCCGGTCGCTGTCCACGGGGGGAGGTGCTGAAAGGCAGAAGGACGCCGGCGCGCTGCGGGCATCCTCTTGTCCTTGGCTGCCGCCGCCTCCCCGCGAGCGGCGCTGATTTTCCTCCCCCCGCTGCTTGGCTGCCTCTGCCGCTTCTGCAGCCATTTTGCAACCAGCAGAGCCGGAGGCAGGGGCAGGCTGCCGGCGGAGCCGAGCGATGGGCTAGCAGCAGCTGTTGCGGGCAGGCGAGCCGGCACCATGGTGAAGAGGAAGAGCTCGGAAGGCCATGACCAGGAGAGCGGCCGAGGGGTCCCGCTGCCCATCCAGACCTTCCTATGGAGGCAAACCAGGTAAGAGAGAGTAGGGGGCGCTACCTGCGAAGCCTCGCTGGGGATGGAAAGGCTGGCGACCCCCAAGCAAGTGCCTCCTCCTCCTGCAACAGCAAAAGGGAGCCGTGTGTGCGCCTGGCTGTATGGCGCTTGTTTCCAAGGGCTCGCCGTCAAATCAAGAGGGCTGAGGCTTTTTCCTTTTCTGATGAGAGTGCTGCGTGCTATAAGGGGTACTTCGCGCTTGTTTTTTAGAATTAAGGTGCTTCCACGTTTTCTCCCCCTCCCTGGCACCTGATGCAGTCCTCCAGCTGCAGTCAGACCCAAAGGCTTCACAGCAGCTCTGCCAGTCCCCTCGGTGAGCCACACTGGTCTGTAGAACCGGTTACATCAGTCGTCCCTGTGAGCAGCACAGTCCAGGAGAAGAAACCCCTGAAGCAAGCTATCAAACGTCAGAATGCATCTGCCTTTGAGCGGTGATGCTCTCCCACTGCCACCATGGCACAGCAACAAGCTTTTGCTTCAGAGTGTGGTGAATGCTGGGCTTGTGGAATAGGCTAGTTCACCAGCTATGGCTGTTCCTGTATAGAAATAAGCCTGGCTACAGTATACCCTGCTGTAGCAACCTCCAGGTTAGATGACTGTAATGCACTGGGGGGTGGGGGGCTGCCCTTAAAGACTGTTCAGAAGCTGCAGTTGTTGCAAAGTGTGTTGTCAGTGTGTTGACCCGTGCAGCTGCTTGGAACCAGAGAACAATTCTGAAGAGTTTTTCACTGGCTGCCTACATGCTTCTGAGCCCAATTGAGGTTTTAGTGTTTATGCACAAAGTCCTGAATGACTTAGGACCCAGTTCTATGAAAGAATGCCTCTCAGCATTTTCCTGCTCAAGATTTAAGACCTACCAGCAAGGCTCTTCTTGTCATTCCATCACCAAGTGACACCTGTGGTGCTTTAGCTCAGTGAGGATCCTTTTTGGTGCTTGTACCCTGGGGGTGGGATGCTATTCCCTCTGAAGTACAGCATTATTTAGCTTCTGCTGCCAGATGTAAACCCATTTCTTCCTCCAGGCCTTTAGAGGAGCTGGGTGTTGCTACCTGGCATTGTTAGATGAAGCAAATTAAGTTATTCAGGTTGAGGTAGTTTTATTGTTTTATTGTCTGATTTTATTGTATCTGTTTGTATTGGGTTGTAAAACCAATGGCACTTCTACTCAAAAGAGACCCTATGAAATTAATAAGTATTAATGATTAGACTTAGATTTAATAACTTTGGTGGGCTTACTCTTAGTAGAACTAACATTGGATACAACTCATTGTATTTATTTGAACGTGACTCATCATGAGATTGCTTGCAGTGAAGGGAGGGCTATAAATATTATAATGAATTAATTCAATTTATAGCATGTTTAAGTCACTTTGCACAATTTTGTTGTTCACTACTTCACAGCATAACCTTACATTGAAATGGAATCCTGAAGACTTTCTGAGATAAAGCATGGAAAATGTCAGTTTACTATGATTTACACACAAATGAAATTATATTTTTTAAAGTACAATGAAATTAAAGCCATGCAACATCAGATGTAAATATATAAATATATAACTACAATTGGTATCACTTATACATCCCATTGCTTCCAGTCAGATAAATCTGATTCTGAACACATCGTTAAATAATCCATTAAAATCAATGAGATTGAAAGATGTTTCACTTTGACTGGATAATGCTTAGTATATTTATGAATATAGTATAGAATATTTGTTAACTTCAGAAAATTATTGTTTATCATTTCATTTGCCTTTATAAGCTCAGACAAACAAAACAAAAAGCATCACTTTGCAATAGATATATTCAAAAGATCTCTGCCTCCACACCTTTAGTGGAGCTGGGAGTTGAGATACCGAGCCATCTGGAGTATATAATTATAGTCCATCAAAGGCCTTCATAAATGGAATTGTTTGCATCTGGTGCTTAAAAAAAATATAGTGAAGGAGACTGGGGAACATCCCCAGAGAGAGTGTTATACAGACAGGGGCATCTTCCGTCCCCCCCCCCCACAAAAGCTGCCCCCAGGAAAAACCCCTCACCACCTCTGAGAAAGGAGGCAAGACTTCAGAAAATGAAATTAACCAATGTCTTCATGTTCAAGAAGTTGGTGCTTCAGCTACCTGGGCCTCAGGCATTAAATGAGGCAAGGGGCTGTATTGTGTGAGTTTGGAAAGGGGACATTTTTGGTATCATCTCACACTATAACTCATTTGACATTTTTCAATTAAGTTTGTTCAAGTGTTGCATTATCTTCTTCTCATATGAAAACAATATTGACTTCTTTATTATTGGACTGATCCTACAGAGCAGGCCATGCCTTAGGCATGTAGAGGAGAGTTTACAATGGCTTCCACCTCACATTAGATCCCAGTACTAGTCACCTTTCCTTGCACCTGCATTGCCACAGCATCCTAAACCAGCCTTCCGCAGACTGGTGCCCTCCATATGCTGGCTGGGGCTGATGGGAGTTGTAGTCCAAAAACTTAAAGAAGATGGCAGCTTGGGGAAGGCTGTCACAAACATTTCCCAGGCCTGCTGGATGACTGTTATGCGTGGGTTACCACTGCTGTCCACTCACCTACACTGCACATATTTACCCTGAGACTCCCAAAATTGAAGCCTCTGATTGAACGGGTCTCCCTTGCTTTTCTTTAGCGTCAGCCCACCCCACCCTGACATGTACCATGTACTGTTGGGAAAGGGAAATCCCTCTGTCTCTAATACTTACTGTAGCCCCTGCAGAAATCTCTCAGATGCAGCCACATGGGGCTATTTGTCAGCTTTGTAACATGCAGTTTCCTTGGGACCTTGGCGTGTGATTTATTTATATAGCCACAGTGTCGTAAGTAATTATGCCATTGTAACCTTCATTGTAATTCAGCATGTTTAATTGTGTTATGTACCTATGACCATTCCTTTGACAAGTTTCTTTTTTCTCCCCTCAGTGCATTTTTGAGGCCCAAACTGGGAAAACAATATGAAGCTTCATGTGTGGTATGTAACTTTCAAATATATATATATATATATATATATATATATATATATATATATACGAATTTGCATGTATTTCCTTAATTTTAGTAAAGGAAACTGGCAGACTTTTGTTAAGCTCAATGGCCCAAATGTAGCACTTGCCTTACCATGGCAAAAGTAGCTAAGTACAAACCAATATTACTATATATAAATTTATTATCATGATTTACACTGTTAGCTGTTTTATACAAAAAAAGTTTCCATTATTATGTACTGGCAAAATCAATATAATTCTGACAGATGAGATTCTGAGCATGAAGATTGCAGAGGGTGTGTGCTCATATCCATTGCAGAATCCCTGTCAGTAAGGCTGGTAGACAGGTTTTATAACATCAGGAAGAACTTTGGATGGCCATCTGTCAGGGATGCTATGGTTGAGATTCCTGCAGTTCAGCGGGTTGCACTAGACGACTCTTGAGGTCCTTCCCAACTCTACAATTTTATGATTTAATGAACTCAGTTGTTCTTGAAGCCTTTTGGTTCTGGCTTTTGCTAATATAGGATATCAGCACCTCGTGTCAATCACATATCACTGATACAGATGGTTATGCCTTGTTGTGTTTGCTGGACCTCATCAGACATACTATGAATGATGCCCTCTAGCTTAATGCATGAGTTTTGACTCCCTATGCTCTTCTGTTCAGTTGGCACAGCTACAAATGCTACTTCAAAGAAATATGACCCATTTCTTTTCAGGCTTCTAGCATATGACCTTGATTTACTGAATCACTCCTGCAGAGCAAATAAATCATTTACTGCTCATGCTTTATATATCATGTGAAGAAAACACTATTTTCCTCACTTTCTCAAAGTTCTTGAATTCTGACAGGTACAAGCAGAAAATTCACAACTGTTGCTATGCTTTACTGTTTCACACAGCTGAAATGTGGGGTTGTGGGAATTAATCATAGAATCATAGAATCATAGAGTTGGAATAGACCACAAGGGCCATCAAGTCCAACCCCCTTCCAAGCAGGAAACACCATCAAAGCACTCCTGACATATGGTTGTCAAGCCTCTGCTTAAAGACCTCCAAAGAAGGAGACTCCACCACACTCCTTGGCAGCAAATTCCACTGTCGAACAGCTCTTACTGTCAGGAAGTTCTTCCTAATGTTTAGGTGGAATCTTCTTTCTTGTAGTTTGGATCCATTGCTCCGTGTCCGTTTCTCTGGAGCAGCAGAAAACAACCTTTCTCCCTCCTCTATACAGTGGTGCCTCGCAAGACGAAATTAATTCGTTCCGCAAGTTTTTTCTTCTTGCGAGTTTTTCGTCTTGCGAAGCACGGTTTCCCATAGGAATGCATTGAATATCAATGGAGACCGTCCGGGGACAGAGGGGAAGCGCCGCGCGCCTTCCCCTCTGTCCCCGGACCTGTTTAAAGCAAGGGGCAGCGGGGAGAAGATTGCTTCTCCCCGTTGCGTGCCCTGCAATCTCCGGGGACAGAGGGGAAGGACCTGTTTTAAAGCAAGGGAAACTCGTCTAGCGAGTTTTTCATCTTCCGAGGCGTTCGTCTTGCGGGGTATCACTGTATGACATCCTTTTATATATTTGAACATGGCCATCATATCACCCCTTAACCTCCTCTTCTCCAGGCTAAACATGCCCAGCTCCCTTAGCCGTTCCTCATAAGGCATCGTTTCCAGGCCTTTGACCATTTTGGTTGCCCTCCTCTGGACACGTTCCAGTTTGTCAGTGTCCTTCTTGAACTGTGGTGCCCAGAACTGGACACAGTACTCCAGGTGAGGTCTGACCAGAGCAGAATACAGTGGCACTATTACTTCCCTTGATCTAGATGCTATACTCCTATTGATGCAGCCCAGAATTGCATTGGCTTTTTTAGCTGCCGCATCACACTGTTGGCTCATGTCAAGTTTGTGGTCAACCAAGACTCCTAGATCCTTTTCACATGTACTGCTCTCAAGCCAGGTGTCACCCATCTTGTATTTGTGCCTCTCATTTTTTTTGCCCAAGTGCAATACTTTACATTTCTCCCTGTTAAAATTCATCTTGTTTGTTTTGGCCCAGTTCTCTAATCTGTCAAGGTCGTTTTGAAGTGTGATCCTGTCCTCTGGGGTGTTAGCCACCCCTCCCAGTTTGGTGTCATCTGCAAATTTGATCAGGATGCTCTTGAGTCCATCATCCAAGTCGTTGATAAAGATGTTGAATAAGACCGGGCCCAAGACAGAACCCTGTGGCACCCCACTAGTCACTCTTCTCCAGGATGAAGAGGAACCATTGATGAGCACCCTTTGGTTTCGGTCAGTCAGCCACTTACAAATCCACTGAGTGGTAGCATAGTCAAGACCGCAAGCTCCAGCTCTCTAATTCTTTGGAGCGTAGCTACACGTTCCTCCAGTTGCTGGACTTTGTCTTCTAAGAGGGCAATCAACATACAATTGCTGCAGGTAAAGCTGCCTGCAACCTTTGGCAAGATGGCAAACATTGAGCAGGAACCGCAGGCGACTGCAGCTGTTCCCTCACCCTCCATCTTGAAAGCGTGTCGTTGGGGGTGGCTACAGTGGTTCTCCATCTTAAAAAGAGTGAAGACAGGACAAATAACCCCCCCAAAAAAACCTAGGTCTCCCCCAACAAACGTTTGAGACTAGCTCCCCTAAATCTAAAAGATGGATCAAACTGCCCTGCAAGCTCTGATAAGCTCCTCCCACAGCTAATCACCTGACTCAACAGAAACCCTGCCCCCTCTGACCTTTGCACAGGGAGAGCAGCTAATCGATAATGTTCCAATGCACTCTTCCATATCAAACACTCCCCCCAAGCGTGTCAGGACAAAGCATCCCAGTTAGCTTCCCTTGTAGAGGATTTTGTTTCGGTCTGCATTTTTGAGCAAACTGACCTGATTCACACACCCTGGACTGATGTGTGAATTGAAATGAAATTATCCTTTGGTCTTCACATTTCTCCACATATAAAAACAAAAACAGACAGACACTCCTACAGGAGGCAGTTAATCTGCTGATCACGTTTCAGAGTTCTGGGGAGAACCATTGCAACTCAAGGTGCTTCACTTTCAAACAACCCGGACTCTCCCTCTCTGAATTTCTCTCTCTTCCTGTCCATTCAAGTTGCAGACTGGCTCCAAAACATCACTCCTGCTTTCAGTCACCAGCTGGAGGACATAATCTTCCCAAACACATTGTACTGTATTCCAAATGTTGGAGAGAGGGTCCCAGCTATCAGGAGAACAACTCTTGTGATTTGCTTTCATAATTTGCTCCCATTATGTTCTTATTAGTAAGCTATTAGCTTAACTAAATATGGTCTCCCTGCGTTCATAATGCCACTGAAATACGACCATAAATTCCTTTTAGGGAGCTCATTTGCTAGCTTGCTTTTTACAGTCACAGTCCATTACCCTACTCCAAGTACATGGATGAGAAGAGGGAGCAGTGGCAGTATTATTCATGCAGTCCTCCATTATGCTAATATTGCTTTGATACTACACAGTATGTAGGAGATGGAGTGGAAAGGTGAGGGTAGCATGAGGACTCTGGCACAGACCACTTGGACATACACTTTTAACTTTCCACAAAATGTGTCAAAGCACTTCTAGAGCACAGATAGTCAATGTTGTGTCCTACAGATATTGATGGACCAGCACTCACAATCAGCCCCAGTCAGAATGGCCAATGGTCAGGGATGATGGGTATGGTAGTTCATCAATATTTGGAGGGCACTACATGCTTCCCCTGCACTGGAGTATGGAGCAGAGTAAGAGACCTGGGAGGAGGCTTCCCATCAATGCAGAGGATTGCTGGGGAGAGGCAACCAGTTACTACATTTCCATTCTGCTCTAGCTTCCGGGCTACTACATCACCTCCAAGGACATTGAGTGTTGGACCTCTTCTCTCGTGCTTCTGACTTACCAGTGTATTTCAGAAGCAAGCCCTCTATTAACAAGCCTTGTTGTAGCCTTTTCATTTAATCAGTCAGAACATATTGTATATACTCGAGTATAAGCAGACCCGAATATAAGCCAAGGCACCTAATTTTAGCACAAAAACCTGGGGAAACTTATTGACTCGAGTATAAACCCGTTCACCACATCACAAACCTGGTGGTGGCAGCAGCGATGGATGGAAGAACAAGCAGCCCAAAAGGGCTCCTTTTGGGCCGCTCGTCCCTCCGCCGCCGCCTCTGCCGCTCACAAGAGCAGGCATAGGAGCCGCGGTTGGGAGAGGCACAGCACAGCGCCTCTCCCATCTGCGGCTTCCTGTGCCTGCCCTTGCGAGAGGCGGGTGGCGGTGGTAGGACCAGCAGCGAGAAAGGGCTCCTTTCGGGCCGCTCATCCCGCCACTGCCGCCTCACTCAAGTATAAGCCGAGGGGGCTTTTTCAGCAGAAAAAATGTGCTGAAAAAGTCGGCTTATACTCGAGTATATACGGTAACTAGATCCAAAACATGCTTCCCAAGCTAGATATTGGAGCTCTTTGCTGTGTATCATCATGTGGAAATGTTCTTCATGGCTCTGTCAGTGCTTTCTGTCCTGCTCTCCAGTACAGTATTTTGTTCTATTGACACTGTAATTTCCTAACTGTCAAGGAGACAAAGTCCTTTTCTTTTACCATTTAAGATTGTAACGGTCTTATAAAATTCAATAGTGTCCCATCTATTTTTAGAATCTGAGTTGCCAAGTTGAAGCCATTGAAGTGTGTGATGGTGCACTATTTTTAGACACATCCCTTTTGTATTTGCGGAATTTGTTGATGTATTGTGCTGTATTTGGAGGTCACTTTTAATGCTGTACTTTCCAACCCAACCCAAAAATAGAGATTCCCCCCCCCCTTTGTCTAATCGGCCACCATATAACTCAATATCTTCCTGTTTTCCTATAATAGTTAAACTTTCAGTAGCTATGGATGAATGTGGGACAAAACCAACCACAGTATTCTGTTTAAAACAATACTTTACAACTTTATTGATGCTTAATTGCAATATTAATACTATGAAGTTTATTTAAAGGATTACTTATAATGCTTGTGGTTTCACTTAGTTACTGTATGATTAAATAGCGCCCACATACTGTCCCTTTAAGAAGCTGCCTATGTATACTGTCCCTTTAAGAAGCTGCCTATGCCTATCCCAGAGGACAGGATCACACTTCAAAACGACCTTGACAGATTAGAGAACTGGGCCAAAACAAACAAGATGAACTTTAACAGGGAGAAATGTAAAGTATTGCACTTGGGCAAAAAAATGAGAGGCACAAATACAAGATGGGTGACACCTGGCTTGACAGCAGTACATGTGAAAAGGATCTAGGAGTCTTGGTTGACCACAAACTTGACATGAGCCAACAGTGAGACACGGCAGCTAAAAAAGCCAATGCAATTCTGGGCTGCATCAATAGGAGTATAGCATCTAGATCAAGGGAAGTAATAGTGCCACTGTATTCTGCTCTGGTCAGACCTCACCTGGAGTACTGTGTCCAGTTCTGGGCACCACAGTTCAAGAAGGACACTGACAAACTGGAACGTGTCCAGAGGAGGGCAACCAAAATGGTCAAAGGCCTGGAAATGATGCCTTATGAGGAACGGCTAAGGGAGCTGGGCATGTTTAGCCTGGAGAAGAGGAGGTTAAGGGGTGATATGATAGCCATGTTCAAATATATAAAAGGATGTCACATAGAGGAGGGAGAAAGGTTGTTTTCTGCTGCTCCAGAGAAGCGGACACGGAGCAATGGATCCAAACTACAAGAAAGAAGATTCCACCTAAACATTAGGAAGAACTTCCTGACAGTAAGAGCTGTTCGACAGTGGAATTTGCTGCCAAGGAGTGTGGTGGAGTCTCCTTCTTTGGAGGTCTTTAAGCAGAGGCTTGACAACCATATGTCAGGAGTGCTCTGATGGTGTTTCCTGCTTGGCAGGGGGTTGGACTCGATGGCCCTTGTGGTCTCTTCCAACTCTATGATTCTATGATTCTATGTAAGGATGCTTTTTCACCCCAAATCAAACCCTTGGCAATTACCCTATAGTGCTCCCTTGCCAGTTAATGCACTATACCCAGAGGACTTCACAAGCAGTCTGTCCAGACCCCCATAAGCATTTACTTATAATTTTTAAAAAAGTAAACTTTTATTATAACAGTCTAATGGTACAAACTAGGAAAGTCCAGGTGCTCTTACAAGGCAAAGGAGTAGCATCAACAAATCTGGTCCAAGATCACAAGCCAAGGTTCAGGAGTTTGCATGGGAGCTGTGAACATGTTCTAACAAGTTTATTCCTTATCTGAAAACAGGTATACCTCCTGGGGGTGGGGAAAGTCTCTTCTCATCTCTTGATGTGCCATCAATCCCTGAGCCTGTGTCTTCCTCTGAACTCTCCTGCTCTGTCCTAGCAAGCTGGGAAGGATCATAGAATCATAGAGTTGGAAGAGACCACAAGGGCCATCGAGCTTACTGTGATTTTTAGATTTTTTACATCTGTTTCAATATATGTCATAAATTTATTCCATTCATTATTAAACTTTGTACCTTTTTGGTTTCTTATTTTCTGTGTCATTTTTGCCAATTCTATATAGTCAAATAATTTTGATTGCCACTCATTTATAGTTGGGATTTTTGATGTCTTCCAGTTTTGTGCTATTAGTGTTCTAGCAGCCACTGTTGCATATTGGAAAAATGTTTGGTCTTCCTTTTTAATTTCTTCTCCAATTATCCCCAGAAGGAAGGCCCCGGGTTTTTTTGTGAAGGTATATTTAAATATATATTTTTAATTCATTGTAAATAGATTCCCAAAACTTTCTAATTACTTCACAAGACCACCACATGTGGTAAAAATTGCCTTCTTTAATCTTGCATTTCCAGCATAATTTGTCTCCGGTTTTATACATTTTTTCTAATTTTATCAACAACATGCTCCAACCAACTGAGCTATTCATGGCGACATTGCAGTTTTAAAATGTCCTGAAAATTTCTTAACCAAGTATTGCTACTATTCCCTGCTGATTATTATATGAGAGTCTTGCATGAATGAAAAGCCTTGTTCAAACACGCTATCCTGTTTAAAAAGCAAGCAAAGGGCTTGCCCACACTTACTTTCCCCCACTCTTTCCAGTCACAATCCATGATTTAAAGCTCTAAGTCCGAGCACCCTGTTTATTTTTACCCTAGAGCTTTTCCTGCAAAAACCTGCTCTTTAAGGCTCAATCAGAGCAAGCGACAAACCATGGAAAATGAAAACTGATGTTTGCTCCAAATCAGCTTTCAAGAGCAGTTTTTTATGGGGAAAGGTCTGGGACAAAAAAAAGAGAAATGTTCGGTTATGGAGTGTTAAAAGAAATTACTGAACAAAAGTGTGGGTAAGCTCAAAATGTTCTTTTCTATTACACCTTATAAATTTGTTCCAAAAGGAAATAAGGGGAGACTCAGGGGTGCCAACTTGAATAAAAGATTGGGAGGGGCAGGTAAGCCCTGCCCCACATAATTGATCACGTGACATGGTGCGCGCACACAATTTGAATGGCAATGCCCATCAACTTGGGGAGGATAGCCCCCTCAAATATTTTATTGGGGGGCAAAGCCCCCTCAGCCCCTAGGAGTTGGCACCTCTGTGGAGACCATTGATTTATGTTAATTTATCCATTTATGCTACCCCACAGTGGCTTCCTGGTAGCTGTTCTTTAACTGGAGGTTTTTTGGGGGGGTTATTTACACTTGCTAGCAATCAAAATTTCAGCACTGACAGGCCGATTTTCAATCAAAGTCTGATTTGTTTACTTATAAACTTATTTATAAGCTGCCTTTTGTGAAGTTGCCCACACAGAGACAGCTTTACATATCAATGAACACAATACCATTGAAAACGAAACTAGGCAATTTAAATGGCGGCAGTACATAATAATTTAAAAACATAGCCTGGTTAAAAATAAATAAAACAGCAGGCAGAACAGATTCAGCACTTTAAAATGCTACACATTCTAAAACAGCTCTCACTCATTAAATAAAGGCATAGATTAGGAAAAAGCTAGTCCCCCCCAAAAAAATAGGTTTAAAACACCCGCTTTAAAATTTGCAGAGTTGGGGGGGGCTCCACGGTTACATAATCTTGGACCTCCACAGAAAAGCCTGTTTCTTGTGCCAGCCAACAAAACTGGCCTTATAGACAGGCCTTGAAGAAGGGTATGTGGTTCTTCTAAATCATTGAGGGAAGGGGGTTATTGGTTAGTTTTTGTCTTTTTAAGTTTTTTCTATTCTCATTTTGCATTTTTATGTTGTGAACTGCCCTGTGAAGTTTTTAGGTCAAAAACAGCACTTTGAATGGTTGGGCTTTTATCCTTTCACAAAAACATCTTAGGACAGTGCCAAGCAAATGCAAATGTTTTGATGGGTTTCCTGAAGCAAACACTGCTGCTGCTGCTGCTGCTGTTGATGTTAATTAAATTGATATACAGTGGTGCCTCGCAAGACGAAATTAATTCGTTCCGCGAGTTTTGTCGTCTTGCGATTTTTTTCGTCTTGCGAAGCACGGTGTCGGGAAAGTTTTGGAAAAGCTTCAAAAATCACCAAAGTCTTTAAAAACCTCAAAAAAGGCTACCACACCGCGTGCTATGAGTTGCTCCTTGAAGTCAAGTCGCAACTGTATTAACGGTGTTAAGAAAAAGGAAACAAACTTGCAAGACGTTTCCATCTTGCGAAGCAAGCCCATAGGGAAAATCGTCTTGCGAAGCAGCTCAAAAAACAAAAAACCCTTTCGTCTAGCGAGTTTTTTGTCTTGCGAGGCATTCGTCTTGCGAGGTACCACTGTACCACCCTTCACCCAAGAATCATAGGGTGGTTTACAGCATGAAAATACAAAATGCATGAAACAAACAAAACAAACAAAAGTACAACCCCTTACAACTTTCATCAGCTCTGACCATTAGCCATGACCTGGCTGCTCATGGGAGTCCAACAAGGGCCCAGAAGTTCCTGACATATTGACAGACGTGTGTCAGCCCTCTGTACTTAAATCTAGGAGCAATGGGCTGAATGTGCACATGGTTTCCAGAGATAATGTGCCCACTGTCCACCATTGCAACGTGGGCCAATCAGACTTCCTGTGTGAAGAATGGAACTGTCCTCATTAAATTTACTTATGGTACTATTTTCATACAAAGCAGAAATGTTCAGTCTTTCAAGAACATGTAATAGGATTGGTTTTTTTTTCCTTTTTCCTCCTTCATTTTAGTCCTTTGAAAGAGTTTTGGTTGAGAATAAGTTGCACGGTCTTTCACCGGCCCTTTCTGAAGCCATCCAGAGCATTTCTCGCTGGGAACTGGTCCAAGCTGCCTTACCACATGTTCTTCACTGCACGGCGACACTGCTTTCCAATCGGAACAAGTTAGGTCAGTGCGCATGTTAGGATGCTATTATGCTAAAAACCTAATTATGTTCCGTCTAGTTTAAACTGATGGTTCTCAAAGTAGGATAAGCTGTGGCTAAGGGGTGCATTTACCTACTCCTTTTGATTTCAGTTGGTTGTGATTGAGCAGAATGACTCCTGGTACACCCTGTTCATTTCTCAGCTATGTGGGTTCGGGAGATCTATCCTGAGAAGGGCCCAGAAGTCCTGTTTTATTTCTCTGGCACCACTAGGTAAACAAATTGTCTTAGGGCAATCTGGGAATTACATTAAGGTTACCAGATGTTCCCATTTCCCAGGGACATTCCCCGAATTTACAAATCAGTCCCCTGACAAAATCCTATCATTCTACTGAAGTTGAAAAGTGTCCCTGGATTCATTGAAAAAAAATCTGGTAACCTTACATTACATGCCTAGGTCCCTTTGCTGCTTCTGGGTGGATGACTGTGAGTGAAGAATCAGGGGTGGAAGAAAAATAATGTGTCACCCTGCCATTACTTGCTATTCAAAAGCCTATTTCCAGTAGGAACACACACACACACACACACACACACACACCAAATTATGGGGGGAGGGGAAGCTAGAGAGAACTTCTAGATAAAGACTGAACATTGTAACAGCCCATGGCCTTGGTCTGGAGGAGAACATTTAAACTTTCAATTAATTATATCACAGTAGTAGTTTTAGTAGCGTAGTACAGTGGTGCCTCGCAAGACGAAATTAATTCGTTCCGCAAGTTTTTTCTTCTTGCGAGTTTTTCGTCTTGCGAAGCACGGTTTCCCATAGGAATGCATTGAAAATCAATCAATGCGTTCCTATGGAGACCGGGGACAGAGGGGAAGTGCCGCGCGCCTTCCCCTCTGTCCCCGGACCTGTTTTAAAGCAAGGGGCAGCGGGGAGAAGATCGCTTCTCCCCGTTGCTGCCCCTTGGTTCAAAAGGGGTCCGGGGAGAGAGGGGAAGGCGCACGCGCCTTCCCCTCTGTCCCCGGAGATTGTGGGGCTGGCAACGGGGAGAAGCGATCTTCTCCCCGCCGCTCCTTGCTTCAAAAGAGGTCCGGGGACAGCAGGGAAGACACGCTGTGCTTCCCCGCTATCCCCGGAGCTTGCGGTGCAAGCTTCGTTTTGCGAAGCAAGCCCATAGGGAAATGCATCTTGCGAAGCGGCTAAGAAAACGAAAAACTCCTTCGTCTAGCGAGTTTTTCGTCTTCCGAGGCGTTCGTCTTGCGGGGTACCACTGTAGTAAAATAAATGTTGCTCGGCCATGTTGTTGTTGTTGTTGTTTAGTCGTTTAGTCGTGTCCGACTCTTCGTGATCCCTGGACCAGAGCATGCCAGGCACTTCTGTCTTCCACTGCCTCCCGCAGTTTGGTCAGACTCATGTTTGTAGCTTCGACATAAGCCATAGCAAAACTAATATATCACCAGAAGAGAAAATCCAACAACAGTGCATGGGAAGACCCAGAACGTCTTGCTGTATTTTCTCATCTAGGACATCAGGATAAACTTGGTGTTGCAGAAACGAAGCTGCTTCATACTCTGCACTGGATGTTGCTAGAAGCTCCTCAAGACTGCAGCAATGACCGCTTTGGAGGAGGAGGAGGAGGAGGAGGAGGAGGAGGAGGAGGAGGAGACAGGGCATCGAGCTGGAGAGGGAGCAGCAGCGCTTTCATCCACCAGATTGAAAACCAGGGATCTCCAGGGCATCCAAGGCGTGACAGCACCAATGAAGAGGAGGAGAACAACAGGAGGAAGTTCTTTCAGAATTCAATGGCCACAGTGGAGCTCTTTGTATTCTTGTTTGCTCCGCTAGTTCATAGGATCAAAGTAAGTGCTTAAAGTAAAGGCTCATCAGCACTTCTGCTTGTCCCGTGCCTAGAAAGTATTAAATTACTTACAATGTCCAGAAGTGGCTACTGTGTTTCCTTCCTAGATCTCCAGTGTTGTGGGACACTCTGATTCCACCACCACTCCCAGAGTTCCCCTTGTCCCTGCTTTATTTCCCTCAGGTTCACTCATACTTATACAGACCGAAGCATGGAAGCTCAAGTCAGACAACCCTCCAAATCCTGCTGTGGAGGATTCTGGAGGAGGCCTGGACCCACAAGGGCAACCATTCCATCTTTCATGTCTGGCATTCCTATGGTATCTCACAGAAACTTTTCTTTTAGGATATCAAATGGAGGGTATAGCAGAGTCCTTGTAAGCAACCCCTTTTCTTTCTTTCTTTCTTTCTTTCTTTCTTTCTTTCTTTCTTTCTTTCTTTCTTTCATTCTTTCATTCTTTCTTTCTTTCTTTTTGCTGTATAAAATGTTTATTTGGTGCATGAGATGATTCTTACAATTTCTACCACCTTCATCACAGGTAGAATTGCATTACATTTTTGGAGATTGAAATTGGAACCAGCAATAAGAACTTCAGATACTCTTCCCCAACTACAGCAACACAGAGCCAATGGCTGCTCCCACTGCCTGCACCCCAAACCCAGTCACAAGACACCTTGTGCACAACATACCACCCCCATGATTGTCCACACACTTTTGTGGATAAACCATGTGTAAAATGGAATAAGAGAGTGGTTTATAGGACAGAAGGACTCTACCTATGAGATTTTGGAACAAGGAATCTCTGGGTTTAAATAAAAAATATCAATGCTCTTCTCCGTCAGATCCACAGGTGTCCCCATGTTCTTGTGTCCTTTTAGGAATCTGATCTGACTTTTCGTCTGGCCAGTGGCCTTGTTATTTGGCAGCCGATGTGGGAGCACAGGCAACCTGAAGTTTCCGCCTTTACTGCACTGGTTAAACCCATCAGGAATATAATCACAGGTTTGTGGTTGTGTTAATGCATGCAAAAGTACTTAGAAACTGAAAGTCATAGAGAAGTAGCTGGTAAGTGTCTGTTATAAAGTTTCAGAGGCTTCCTCAAACTTCCACCAAAGAACCGATAGCAAATTCTTTTGAAGAGAACCACCTCTTAATAGTAGATGCAGTATCTAACAGGGCTCCAAGTCCCTAACACAGAGCTGGGGAACCTTTTCCAGACCAAGGGTCACAGTGTCTCATGGGAAACATTCCAGGGGACACATGACAGTGGTGGGTGGCCATATGTCCAGAATTTCCTGGAATACTGTGGTCAAAAGCAGTGTCCGGGCAGAAATCGGCAAGACTTCCCAGAAAATCCAGATGTATGGCATGCCATGTCAACTTTGGCTCCCAAAAAAACTTTTGTGTCTGGATTTTCACTTTCTGAAATATGGCAACTCTAGCGGCCAGAGGCAAAGTAGGGGCAGCAGTGCATGTGAATGTAATCTTTGTTCAGTAGTCTACTATCTACAGACACTCAAACACCCTCTCTATCATCCATCAAGAGGCATTGGGTGGCATTCATTGCTGCACTATTGCAAAAGTGCCAAATGGAACGACACTCCCCCCTCCCGTATACAGTTCTGGGGGTTCACACCCAGCTAATTTCAGAGGTGCAAGGAGAAGGAGAGGGGAGATGCCCCATTGCACAAACTGAAGCCCTTCCACAGGGCTTTCACTGACAGAGTTAATCAGGTGGCTCCTGTGCATTATCAGAGTTCAATGACACCTCCCACCCAGGTGAAAGCACTAGAAGAGGGTGTGAAGTAAGGTTGGTGAGGGTTGTAGCCTGGGGAGAGCCTGAAGGGATTGATAGAGAAGCCTGGGAGGCTGCATTTGCATGATTCAAGAGGTTTTTGTTTGTTTTATTTAAAAATGCATGCACTTCTTAGCCAATTCCAGTGTTTCTGTGCTTTGAGTCACACAGCTTGCCTACTAACAAGTTCTTCATTTGCCAGCAAAGAGGAGTTCTCCAATGAAAAACCAGACTCTGACATGTGAATCTCCTAATGTGGATGCTGGACGTACAGAGGTAATGTATGAGGCTGTACAATCTTTATTGGAATCACAGGGAGGGGAGGGGAGGGGCAGGGGGCGAGCTAAGGAACTGGGCTGAGGAAAGAATTTTTCTGCAGGGAAGGAAGCGATCCTGGAAAGGAATGGGTTGTCCTTCCCACTTGCTCCTCTAGACAGGCGAATGTGCAAATACCAACCACAGTCCCTTTGGGAACTCAAGAGAAGTGGAATAACTTTAAACAAATGCTTGCTGTATAATGCAAATTAAATCCTAGCAGAACCTGAAATAACAAAATCCACTTAATCCATATCCAATTAACCTCAGCCATCAAAGGTTGGCTTTAAATGATTGCCCTCTGTAAGAGGTTCAGGCCTTTATTCAGGATTTCAGGGAAAGAAAGTTTCATAAGCAGCCACTGTGAGAACAGAATGATGAACTAGATAGGAGCCTTCTTGGATCAGATCTATGCTAGGTGTGGGAGAGCTGCCAACCATCCCAGTATCATTCCACTTTAAACAGCCATGGCTTCCCCCACAAAAGCCTGAGGACAACAGTTTAACCACTCTAAGAATTGTTGCTCTGCACCTAGAAAGATAACACATCAGAGAGATAGAACAAGTTTTACATGAACACAGTTGTTTCAAAGAACAGGTTTGAACTGTGCACTTGACATGGACTGTCAAAGCCAATTCCTTTCCCTTTAATTGCACTCTAGAGTTGCACCACCATGCTCCTCATTTTGCAAATAGTGTAGCAGAGTGAAGTAGAAAACAGCAACAAGATTCCTGCATGAAGGATGCAAGGCAAGCTCACTGCTACACCATGGGAGTAGATCCTTACAGTGCAGTCTTTTATATGTGTGCTTCATTCAAAGCAAGTGCAGTTTCTTTCAGTGGGTTTTACCCTCAAGAAACTATGCAAAGGATTGCAGTTTCAGTGTATAGCCTAATTATGCAGACTTCAACCATTATTCCTGCAGTGAAGCTTTCAAGGAGGACATCTGAATGTTCAGTTCCTCCGATTAACAGCAAGAGTAGTTTGGATTACATGTTAGGCAGAACAGCAAACTGCACATTTTGATTGCATTTCTCTCTGTGAAATATTTTTGCACCCACAGGGGCTCCAGGTAGTGTGTGAAACACCCCAGGCAGATGCAGTGCCCCCCAGGCCTGCTTTCTCAGGCTGCCACCGTGGGAATTCTATTGATGGAAGTGTGTCATCCCAAGCCTCCCAGGAGAAAGGACCCCCCTATCCTAGGTAAAAGCTGATCTTCTAGAAGGGCTCCTCTTTAACACCCACCGCCCTCATTGGTGGCCTTGCTATCTTCCAGGACTTCACTTCACATACAGCTCTGGAGGAGACTGTGGGACGTTGGTGCCTTCCATATGCCCTAGCAGTGTTGTGGGAACTGCTTTTCCTTCCTCACACAGCATTGCTGCGAATGAGGCAGGCACCTTCCTCTCAGTTTGTCCCCTTCAAAGCTTCCTGAGGTGTTACATTGTGGCCACTAAGGGGCATTATTTCTTTGCCCGTTTAAGTTTTGACCCTGGGTTGTTGGTCTCTTGTAGGATACCGTGTTTTAAGCTGAAGCCATTACCAAGCGGATCGAAAGACAAATTGTTGTTTCGACATTCAAAGACACTTTCTCTTGCAAGAATCTCTGGCAAGCATTTTAATTTTTCAGAAAAAATGTTTGAAGCATAGTGCCTGAAACAAGGCATTCATGTTTACTGACCTGGTCCTGACCTGTTGCCAACTATATTAAAAGGGCACAGCTGATTTCCCCCACCCAGGAACCTTATTTTCTGTGAAAAAAGCATTGAAAAGCAACTTCTGTGATGTAGGAAAGTTAGCAGTGCAGCTCACAGAGAGTGGAAATGAAGACTTTCCCCAAATATATACACAGGGGGGGGGGGAGACACAAACACACACACTCTTAAAAATATATAAAATATTCTTTTTCCTGCTGAGCTACAGTTTTTGGACTCTTTACTTGATTATTTTTAGGCTAGTTCAGAGTGCCCAAAGGAGGAAGGAACTGGTTTTTAGACAGCAAAAATGAGGCAGTCAGTGTCTGAAACTGAGCTGGGCGGTCGCTATGGCAATGAAGCTGCAGGCAGGCTCTCTATTCTGCGTCATTAATTTTTCCTCATTTGCTGAACTCATTGATCACTACAAAGTCAACTGGATATGGGGGGGAGGGGTAGTTGTTGCCTAGCAACATGCAGTGAAGAAATAAATGTTGTTTGCTCCAGTTACTAACCCAGCATCTATGGAATTATTTTGTCCTTGAAGACCAAATTCAACCAAATTGCTACATCCACAGCCTTTGGGGGTCGTGGTAATTGAGTTGAGTCAGCACAGAGTTGAAATTAAAATTCAGAAGACATGAAAATGTCTACATTTTTTTAAAGGCAGGTTTATTCAACAGAACATAGATTGGCTTTTTGGTAGATATCCTGAGCTTTTTTTTTTTTAACTTTGGCGTTCTGTTTCTGAATATACTATATGCAGTCTACTATTTGTCCCTAATGTAGTCCCCAGTCCAAAAGAATGAGTCACCCTCAGAGTTCATAGCCACAGTCTGAGTGACATGTAGAAAACTGGGAGGTGGGTCTTTGATGACAAGTAGACTTGGAATTTTAGCAAGGCCACTTCTGCCCCAGCAAAAATTAATATAAGGTAACGATTCTTAACCAGCAGAGCAACCTTATCCGTTTGTTAACTTTCTTAATCTCAAATAAATTAGATATACTTTTTGTATTATTTTTCAGTCTGTTTGTTAATGTTAATGTTGTCCTAGTGCTCATTAATAGGGAAGAATCAGGTGTAAGATGCACAATCTGTTTCTCAGCAAGGATTAAACACTCTTAGGTTTTGGGATTTGTGCCAACACCAGTGTTTATTGTTTCTCTACCAATGCAGCTTTATCGGCACAAATTCTCAAAGCAATTTACAAAACCATAAAATAACAGAGCATTAAAAAACAATTTACAAACAAGATTAAAGAGCAACTAAAAATAGATCACAGTATACCAACGGATTAATCACTGGAGGGGGAACATAACAAAACACACATGAATTCCTTTTAAAAAAACAAAAACCATTTTGGTTGACCTAATGAAAGTATCACCCTTATATTGATTTCAGACCATCCAAGTCTCCCTATTTTCCAGGGACAGACCTGATTTAGAGAAGCTGTCTCAGTTTCTGATTTGATTCCAGAATGCCCCACTTTTCTTTACGATGTCCCTACTTTCACTGAAGAAATGTTGGAGGGTATGGAGTTATTCGACCCCTGAGCCATCTGAAGCCAATCCTGCATAAGGAAGTTTTCTTAATGTTTAATGTTTTATTATGTTTTATTATGTTGGAAGCTGCCCAGAGTGGCTGGAGCAACCCAGTAAGATGTGTGGGGTATAAATAGTAAAATTATCATTATGGAATGGGACGTCCCTATTTTCATCAGAGAAATGTTGGAGGGTGTGCAATTTTGGAGTTTACCTTATGAGCCAACATGACTACCATCCTTTTTTAAAGAAAATATTTTTTATTAACATTTTCCAAAAAAAAGAAAAAAAGAAAACATAAGTACTGTACGAAATAATAAATAAAAAATTAAATACAATATTCTTTACAGTTATATATAGTATCATCTTATCTACATTGCGTTAGATCATGCCTCGACTTCCCTCCTTCCCAGTTGCGGTTTTCTTATTATTTCTTATCTTTTACAGTTTCTTCATATTCTTTATATATATATCACAAGAGTTAAGTTAATCCTGCTGTAGTCCTTAAGCTTCTACAGTTAGTTTCTATATATGTAACAAATTTGCTCCATTCTTCTACAAACTTTGATCCTTTTTGGTTTCTAATCCTATGTGTCATTTTCGCTAATTCTGTACATTCGAATAGTTTTACCTGCCATTCCATAACAGTTGGAATTTCTGATGTCTTCCATTTTTGCGCTACTAGAATCCTAGCTGCCACCGTTGCGTACTGAAATAACTTACGATCAATCTTTTTTATTTTGTCCCCTATTATCCCTAATAAGAATGCCTCTGGCTTTTTTGGAAAGGTATACCTGAAGATTTTCTTTAATTCATTGTATATTAATTCCCAGAAACTTTTCATTTTCTCGCATGTCCACCGCATATGATATAGGTCTCCATCTTTACTTTTACATTTCCAACAAGCCTTATTTCCCATTTTATACATTTTTACTAATTTAACTGGGGTAATATACCACCTATACATCATTTTTTCTAGGTTCTCCCTTAAAGTGGAAGATGCCGTAAATTTCATTCCCTTATTCCATAAATTTGTCCATTTATCAAAATCTATATTATAACCCAGGTCAATTGCCCACTTTACCATCACCTCCTTAATTTCCTCGTCTTTGGTATCCCATTCCAGTAAAACATTATACATCTTCGATAGAAGTTTTGTTTTCCCTTCCAAAATTTCTGTTTGATATTTAGATTTTTTCTCACTAAATCCTGATTTTTTATCTTCATTCCATAAAAAGGACAGCAGTTTATCCTCTTCCATAACAGTCCCAGCCAACAGAAGGTGTAGCTACTTCTACTGTGGGGCAAGGTGAGGCAGCCACCTCAGGTGTCAGGATCCACAGTGGCAGCAAATTTGGCCTCTAAGGAATGCATTGCCTACTGCTGCCACCGCTGCACTGCCCCCGCCCGCCCCCGCCCCCAAAGTAGTTCTTCACACACACCCTTGTTCCTGCTGTAGGTCTTCACTCGCCCCTTAATCCCTGATGGGTGGGGCGACACCATTTTGTGGTTCACCTCAGGTGCCAAAATGTCAGGGCTGGCCCTGGTGTGGCAGACCTCATGTTGCATTATTCCCCAGCAGCCTTTGGCATTGATGTACAACCTCAGCTGCAATAGACCCTGGGGAAAAGGGAGATGACTCTGGCAGCAATCTGGGGACCCTCTTTAGAACAGGCAGGCAAGTGCTCTTGAAAGGGCTCAGCACTTGTGGAAAATTCACTGGAAGCGCAACATCTAGGGTTCACAAAAGCTGGGCTAGAAGCACTAATCAATTAACTGGTGTGACTTATTAATTAATCACACGGTTAATATGTGGGTGCCTGGTCAGATTTCCGTAGGAGAGGGTGCTTAGGGTTGATTGGCAGTGATGCAAATGCAGGTAGTGCATAGTAGTACATATTTTAATCTGTAAGTAGGGTATAAATTAATAATAATAATAATAATAATAATAATAATAATAATAATAATAATAATAAACCTTCCTTGGAATCACAATTAGTCACATTCTTTATACTTCTCCTTGACCTTAAGCTTTGATAGAAAAGCTATATTTCAAGAGAGCTTGAATACTGAATAGTTTGTGCCATTTTCCTTATATGAATTATATGTTTAGATTGCAGAGTTAAGCTTTTCTGGTTAGAATTTGATATCTTCTGCTAATAAGGTTGCTATTAACTTAAGCAGCTTTCTCCAGACTGAAGCAAGCAGTTTGTCCTTTGACCTGTCCTGTAATAAGATGTACTTGGGAGCCCTTAGGGGTCTGGCTGCTTCTCTAGTTCCAAGCTTTTGTTCCTTTATCATTTGTGACAGGGTGTCTTTGGTCATCCCACCATGCCAAAAGTCTCGGTATGCTACCTATTTTGACGTGGCTGTATTACGCTGCCTACTTCAGCCACACTGGTCCGAGGAAGGCACTCAGTGGTCCCTGATGTATTACCTCCAGAGGCTGCGGCATATGCTGGAGGAAAGGCCTGAGAAATCTCCTGAGCCAGAGGTCCCACCGTTGCCCAGGCCTCGTAGCAGTTCCATGGTTGCAGCAGCTCCATCACTGGTGAACACTCACAAAACACAGGTAAGGACAACGGGACAGCCCACAAAGGTTTGGGGGTGGTGTGGCTAACATGTCTATAGCTTTAGGTCTTATGGCCTGGTCAGAAAGCTGGCCGGAATTTCAGACCAACCAGGGAAGAAGTACACATATAATTTAGCTGTCTTTCTAAGCTGCTGCTCTTTTGTTCATTTGGAAATAAACAGAATATTCCTTTGATTTTTAGGATTTATTTATTTAAAATATTTTTACACTGTTCTATTGACAATTTCAGTGCAGTGCACAATAAAATACAACAGTAACAACAGTAAAAAAAATAGTCATTAAAAACCACTCAATTTTTGAAACATACACAGCATTCAAATTACTGAGTGAACAAAAGTATTTTTGCCTGGTTCCCAAAACATTGCACTGGGGGATACCGGGCAAGTCTCTTTAAGGAGAGCATTCCATAATTGGGGTACCACCCCCAAAAAGGCCCTTTCCCTTGTTTTCATATAGTGTACCTCTGATAAAGGTATAATGAATCATAGAATCATAGAATCATAGAGTTGGAAGAGACCACAAGGGCCATCGAGTCCAACCCCCTGCCAAGCAGGAAACACCATCAGAGCACTCCTGACATATGGTTGTCAAGCCTCTGCTTAAAGACCTCCAAAGAAGGAGACTCCACCACACTCCTTGGCAGCAAATTCCACTGTCGAACAGCTCTTACTGTCAGGAAGTTCTTCCTAATGTTTAGGTGGAATCTTCTTTCTTGTAGTTTGGATCCATTGCTCCGTGTCCGCTTCTCTGGAGCAGCAGAAAACAGCCTTTCTCCCTCCTCTATGTGACATCCTTTTATATATTTGAACATGGCTATCATATCACCCCTTAACCTCCTCTTCTCCAGGCTAAACATGCCCAGCTCCCCTAGCCGTTCCTCATAAGGCATCATTTCCAGGCCTTTGACCATTTTGGTTGCCCTCCTCTGGACACGTTCCAGTTTGTCAGTGTCCTTCTTGAACTGTGGTGCCCAGAACTGGACACAGTACTCCAGGTGAGGTCTGACCAGAGCAGAATACAGTGGCACTATTACTTCCCTTGATCTAGATGCTATACTCCTATTGATGAGGCCCAGAATTGCATTGGCTTTTTTAGCTGCCGCGTCACACTGTTGGCTCATGTCAAGTTTGTGGTCAACCAAGACTCCTAGATCCTTTTCACATGTACTGCTCTCAAGCCAGGTGTCACCCATCTTGTATTTGTGCCTCTCATTTTTTTTGCCCAAGTGCAATACTTTACATTTCTCCCTGTTAAAATTCATCTTGTTTGTTTTGGCCCAGTTCTCTAATCTGTCAAGGTCGTTTTGAAGTGTGATCCTGTCCTCTGGGGTGTTAGCCACCCCTCCCAGTTTGGTGTCATCTGCAAATTTGATCAGGATGCCCTTGAGTCCATCATCCAAGTCGTTGATAAAGATGTTGAATAAGACCGGGCCCAAGACAGAACCCTGTGGCACCCCACTAGTCACTCTTCTCCAGGATGAAGAGGAACCATTGATGAGCACCCTTTGGGTTCGGTCAGTCAGCCAGTTACAAATCCACTGAGTGGTAGCATAGTCAAGACCGCATTTTACCAGCTTCTTTACAAGAATATCATGGGGCACCTTGTCAAATGCCTTGCTGAAATCAAGGTAGGCTACATCCACTGCCAATCAACCCTAATCATGAAGGATGATTTCAGCAGAAGATGTTAATGCACTGGCAGCTGATACGGAAAGAGGCACCCAGTTAGTATTATAAGCAGCAGATATAAAATATCTTGACTCACCACTATTACTGTGTTCAAAGAGGAACGTATAGAACCAAACATGAGTTTAGAATTGCAATGAGGTATGTTTGAATAGTTGCAGACCTGTCAGGGTACATTAATTAGTAACAATTACACAGTGAAGAGAATTAAAGAAGTAGTGAAAAATATGTGTAACTGTAATATTTACTACACATGCAGTATTTCTAGAATGTACAAAAATCTGTTGCATGCATTATCTGTGTGATCTGGCCAATAAATGTTATTTCCCCAATAGAGCAGCTATGGAACTGAGAGACAGTCTCTTAGACACCCAAATATGCAAACTCCACACTAGTGCCATGACAGTGAATAAGGGCTGTGGGTAGCTGATATTTACAGCAAATTGGAGCATGCAAAGGTTCCTTGGGGTGGGATTGACTGAAGGGGGCAACGGAATAAAAACTGATCGCTTTCCTTTACTCTTGCAAAGCTGCCTTAAGCAGATCAGCCTCCCATTGCTCCCAAAACGAGAGGCAGAAAAAGGGATTGGGCTCAGATAAAACTTTACTCTTGATCAGTGCTATCCCACCCACAGCAATTATTTCAGGACAGACCCTACACAGCTTCCCTCTACCTCTGAATTTCTTATTTTGGGGAAGGAAATAAACTAAGCAAAGAGATTATGCGTTTGCAGCTGAGTGCTGCCATCTGCTACCCGGGACATTCCCTGCCAGCATGAGGGAAGTGTACCTGGCTTAACCTAGTCAAGAGCCGTCTTTCCCATAGGGCTTAGTGGTGCGTTGCGCCAGGGTGCCGGCCTCTCAGGGGCACCCCAGCCAGTGGGGGAGCTGCGGCCGCCAGTTGCCCTCCACTAACCATATGGCTGGCGGGTGTGCAGCTTGCCTCCCAAGCCTCTGCGGAAGGAGAGTGATCTTGCAGCGGCATGGGGGAGAGTCCCCCCCCCGATGGCTGGCAGTGGTAATTTGGGGGAGCTGAGCGGATATTTGCACCCCGGCGTCGCATCTGCTAAAGACGGCCCTGACCTAGGCTATAGCAGGTTTGGATGAAAGATGAGGGATCTGCCTATTTTCCCTGCTTTTTTCTGCAGGTTTTTGCAGACATTTCCCCTCCCCCTAGTGGCTCTTTTGGTAGCCACAAGTAGACATTGAAGCTTCTCTATGGCTGAAGAAAAAAGAATAATATAGCATAAATCTGTCAGTTGGCTGTTGGGAAATATTCTCCAGCTTTTCAAATATAATATCAGTTGGCATTTGAGATGAAAGATGAAATTGAATGGAGTCAGTTTCCCTTTTTTAGTCATTGTTACGAGTTAAACTGGAGCGCAACTTTGTTGGCTTTTGGGAATCTGATTGATGGTCAGCAGATCTGCTGCCTGTTGTAGAAATGTGTGCTAACTTACACTATACTTACACACCAGAAGCCTCCAGTGTTCTCACCCAAAGGAATGAAAACACCAATTGTGCTAACCTTGGAACTGAGGAATGGGGAGTATGTTATAACATAATAAGAGATTATTATGTTTATATTATGTTATTTGGCTGTTTATCCAGTCTTCCTATACATGGTAGTATGTTTCTTGTCTCTCTGCGGACGTATAGGATCTCACAATGAAATGCAATGAGGAGGAAAAATCGTTAAGCACTGAAGCTTTTGCTAAAGTGTCGCTAACCAACCTGCGCAGGCCAGCTGTTCCAGACCTCTCCTCTGATTTGGGAATGAATATTTTTAAGAAGGTAAATGAATCACACCTTAAATTAAAATATTGGATCTCTTCCCTTAATGTACTTAATGCTGTTATTTGCTAAAGGTGTGGACTGCATAAACTATATGAAGGCCAACCCTCACTGAACTAAAGCGATCTAACTAGGAAAATTCAGGCAGAGAGCCAGTTTGGTGTAGTGGTTAAGAGCAGTAGACTCGTAATCTGGTGAACCAGGTTCGCTTCCCCGCTCCTCCGCATGCAGCTGCTGGGTGACCTTGGGCTAGTCACACTTCTCTGAAGTCTCTCAGCCCCACTCACCTCACAGAGTGTTTGTTGTGGGGGAGGAAGGGAAAGGAGAATGTTAGCTGCTTTAAGACTCCTTCAGGTAGTGATAAAGCGGGATATCAAATCCAAAAAAAAAGAGTGATGAATCTAAATGATACCTTTGTGCAGTAGGCTAATAACTACACACTCCTTCACACCCCTCTTTATCTGCCAGCCAGGCAAGCAAGAGGTTCAAGGACACATTCCAAACACACAAAGAAACTTGAGCAGGGGTGCAGATTGGGAGTCTAGAAAGACAAAATGGCCTCAGAGGGAGACACATTCTTCACCTGGGATAGTTGGTGGGGTTATAAGATTCTTAATCTCAGGATTGTGGGTTCAAACCTCACGTTGGCCAAAAGATTCCTGCGTTGCCGGGGGTTGGACTAGATGACCCTTGTGGTCCCATCGACTCTACCGTTCTTTGATTCTATGATTCAGGTACTGGAACCTGAGGTTCCTCACCTGTGTCTTATGAGTTCTGCTGCTAAGATTTCTTCCTGTCTTCTTCCTGCAGTTCAAGAGCCGCAAAGAAGATCGCGAGCGCAAGGGATCCATTCCTTACCACCACACAGGGAAAAAGCGGCAGCGAAGGATGGGGGTGCCCTTCTTACTCCACGAAGACCATTTGGACGTGTCACCTACTCGGAGCACCTTCTCTTTTGGCAGCTTCTCGGGGATTGGAGAAGACAGGCGTGGCATTGAGAGAGGAGGGTGGCAAACGACCATCCTAGGTGAATGAGAACATGGCCTTCAGAGTAGAGAGCTCTCCAGACCCTGAATGCACTAGAATGTCCCGTTGCTTTTACGGACCACAGGATACTGTTTGATTATGACTTAGCAATCTAATCTGATTTAATATTTTAGAAATTGCAGTGAAATTTGTGCCAGCTTTATAGCTGAACCACACATTTCTCTTGTTTGTCTGGGCTTAATAACTATGTTAATATGAATAACTATGTTTAAATATTTAATGATTTCAACAAACTGGGGGCAGAACATTTCCAGACATGCTCATTGATCCTGTCTTCACAGTCCAAATCCTGCAGCTTTTATATCACCCATTCACTGTGTTCAGTCCCCAGAAAACGTTTGCTTGGTGCATTTCTATCCCATCTATTTTCAGCCAACAGACCCAAATGTGGCTTGATCGCTGCAACTTGCAAACATGATCTTTTTGCAGAGCATCCTCATTAATAACATTGCACTATGAGCATAACTGTGTGCTTCTTTCCCATGCTCTAGGAAGGTTTACCAGGCGAGGTAGTTCCGATACAGCTACAGAGATGGAGAGCTTGAGTGCTAGGCATTCCCATTCCCATCATACCCTGGTTACTGACCTGCCAGACCACTCCAACAGCCATGGTGAGTTGCTATTCCAATAGAGATTCTATTCCAATAATATAATTAAATATTATACCTGTTGTTGGCGTGCATCTGTCTCAAAAGACAATGGAGTGCACCTCATGGGTGAAGTCAAACACCTGTGTTAGCAGCACCGAAGTGACCTCCCCAGGGTGCAAGTTGATCCAGAAGCTGCAGTTAGTGCAGAATTCTGCAGCATGATTGCTGACAGAAGTGACACCTTATCAGCACATAACACCTGTGGCCAGAGATCTGCATTGGCTGCCAATTTGTTGGTGGGCGAAGTTCAAGGTATTACTATTACTAAATATTACTATTAAAGCCCTTAAGAACTTTAGACCAGTTTACCTACAAGATCACCCTACCCTGCATGCACTCACTAGACCACTTTGATTGGAGGAACTGGCACTACTGCAAGTGCCACAGGATACCTGTTCCACATTTGGAACTCAATTGTTCAGTGTGGCAGTGCCTGCATTTTGGAACTCCCTGCCTATTGAGAGCAAACAAGAGCCTTCACTGTACCCTTTTCGGAGCCTGCTAAAAACATTCCTGTTTTGACAGGCCTACCCAGATGCTTAGAAAGCTGAGGTAATTCTGTTTTGGCATTTTAACATTTGTATGTTTTAAAGTAAGGTTATAAAAAATTATTGATTTTCTTGTTTTATCTTTTGTAAACCGCTTTGAGGGTTTTAGGGTTTTTTTCAACCAAGTGATGAATAAATTTTATGGGGGGGAAACAAAAGACATAATATAAATACATTGTGAAGCTAACATTATCTGTTGTACTTCTGCCTAGTACGTTCCCAAATTTCCACCATCACAGTGGCAACATTCAACACCACTCTGGCCTCTTTCAATGTGGGGTATGCAGACTTCTTCAGTGAGCACATGCGCAAGCTCTGTAACCAGGTGCCCATCCCAGAGATGCCCCATGAGCCCCTGGCTTGTGCCAATCTCCCTCGGAGTTTGACGGATTCCTGCATCAACTATAGCTGCCTGGAGGATACAGACCACATCGACGGGACCAGCAACTTTGTCCACAAGAACGGCATGCTAGATCTTTCGGTAAATATTTATGGCAATACTCATTCTGACATTAGCTACTGCATTTTTTATTTTCTTCCCACCCACCCCATACATTTTTATTATTTTCTTTACATATTCTTTCTTATCGTACTTTAAACAACATATACACCTTTTTGCTCTGCCGAGCTTGTGATTTCCCTCCCTCCCTTCAGATGGTATCCTTTATCCACTCTCGTATTTTATCTTTTCATATCTTATCTACATTGTAGGAGTTACTTCAGTCCTGCTAGTGTTTTTAAGTTTTTACAACTGTCCTTTAAACGCATGAAACAAGGTAACAATTTGCTGTTATTTTTTATTGTAAAGAACGCAGGGTGTGGAGGATGTGGGGAAGTCCAGTAGATTATGAAAAATTGTTTGGAAAATATGAATATTATCTTTTCTAATCTCTTTTTTTTCTGTAAAGTCGCTTTTGGTGAATTATTGACGATGTATTTGACCTTGGAAAAAAGCAATAAAAAATATTATTAAAAAAAAAAGTTTTTACAACTGTCCTTTAAATATTCAATAAATTTACTCCAATTGTCCTGGAATCTCTGATCGTCCTGTTCCCGAATCCTTCCGGTCAGTTTGGCTAGCTCCGCATAGTCCGTCATCTTCGACTGCCACTCCACAATGGTAGGAACTTCTTGCGATTTCCAGTTTTGGGCCAACAAAGTCCTTGCAGCAGCTGTGGCATACATGAATAATCTTTGATCTTTGATCTTAATTTCCTTTCCCATCAGGCCAAGCAAAAAGGCTTCTGGCTTTTTGGGGAAGGTATACTTTAATATTTTCTTAAGTTTATTCTAAATCAACTCCCAAAATTTCTTCACTTTATCGCACGTCCACCACATATGATTGTACAGTGGTACCTCAGGTTACATACGCTTCAGGTTACAGACTCCGCTAACCCAGAAATAGTGCTTCAGGTTAAGAACTTTGCTTCAGGATGAGAACAGAAATCGTGCTCTGGCGGCGCGGCAGCAGCGGGAGGCCCCATTAGCTGAAGTGGTGCTTCAAGTTAAGAACAGTTTTGGGTTAAGAACGGACCTCCGGAACGAATTAAGTACTTAACCCGAGGTACCACTGTATACACATTTTTGCAAGGCAATTTTCCTTTCCTTTCAGAACCGTACATGCCGTAAATTTCATACCTTCATTCCATAATTTTATCCATGCATACAATTCAATCTTATGCCCAAAATCTATAGCCCATTTTATCATAGCTTCTTTCACTACCTCATCTTTCGTAAACCATTCTAGCAACAAATCATACATTCTGGATAGTGTTCTACCTCTGCTTTCTGTTAATTTGGAATCTTGATTTTTTACCCTCAAATCCGACTTTCCTTTTATCCTCACTCATTATGTCATTTACCTGATGGTATTGCAACCAGCCTGTTAACATACCTTTGATTTCGTCATATGGTTTAAGCTTTAATCCTTGTTCCGTCCATCTGATAATTTCCTCATACGTTGCTCGCCTCCCCTCCATATTCACCTTTTTAACCGTCAATACCTCTATCGGTGATATCCACCATGGAGTTTTCCTTTCCAGTAGGTTTTTATTCCTTTCCCACACTTCATAAATTGACCTTCTAATCACATGATTAAAAAACCCTTTATGTACTTTTACTTTGTCATACCATAGGTACGAGTGCCACCCATACCTATTATCGTGACCCTCTAAGTCCAAGAGATCTGTGTTTTCCAGTGTTATCCATTCCTTCAACCATACTAGACAGGATGCCTCATAATATAGATTCATGTATGGCAAGGCAATCCGCCTCTTTCTTTTTGTCTATTAATATTTTCATTTTAATCCTCTGCTTTTTCCCTTGCCAGATGAATCTTGATAATGATTTTTGCCAATCTTTGAGTTGCCCCATCCCTCTGATTACTGGAATTGTTTGGAATAGGAATAACATTCTAGGTAAAACATTCATCTTTATCACTGATAATTCTACCCAGGAATGACAATTTCAATGCTCCAAATATCTAAATCCCTCTTAATTTCTCCTTCCATGTGTTTTCATAATTGTCTTTGAACAGATTAATATTTTTCATTGTCAACCAAATTCCAAGATATTTCACTTTCTTAACCACCATAATTCCTGACCTGCATTGCAATTCCTTTATTTCTTCTTTATTCATATTCTTTGCTAACATTTTGGTTTTATTTTTGTTAAGTTTAAATCCTGATACCTTTCCAAAGTCCTCCATTCTCTCTAAAGCTTCTCTTACACTGTTCTTTGGATCTTCAACAGTTAAGACTAAATCGTTGGCGAAGGCTTTCACCTTGTGCTCTTTTGTTCCCACCTTTACACCTCTGATTTCTGACACTTCTCTCAAATTCTTATTCAACACTTCCAAAACAGTAATAAACAGCAAAGGTGACAAAGGGCACTCCTGCCTAGTACCTTTGGAGATCTCAAAATTGTCTGATAAATTATTGTTAATAATAAGTTTGGCTTTTTGCTCTGAATATATAGCATCAGTGCCTTTCAAAAACATTTCTCCTAATCCCATTATTTTTAAATTTTCTTTCATAAAGTGCCATTGTAACATTATCGAACGCTTTTTCGGCGTCAATAAACATTAACGTCGCCTGTTTTTCATTTCTCATCTCCAATATTCAATTATGTCTACTATATTTCTCACATTATCCTTCAACTGTCTTGATCAAGCCGGCTTGATCTTTGTGGATTACTTCATTTAACACCTTTTTTAGTCTATCAGCCAGTATATCCGCAAATAACTTATAGTTGTTGTTCAATAACGAAATAGGCCTATAGCTTTTCACGTTCAAACCATCTGTGTCTTTCTTTGGGATCAAGGTAATGTAGGCTTCTTTCCAAGTATTTGGGATCTTTCCTTCTTTCAGAATATTGTTCATAACTTCACATAGCACGGGTGTTAATTGACCTGCTAATGTCTTATAATATTTTGCTGAGACGCCATCTGGGCCTGGGGCTTTTCCAATATTCATTCTTTTTATTGCCTTCTCAATTTCTTGTTCTGTTATTGTCTGATTTAGCTGTTCTTTTTCTCCTATGGGAATCTGCTGTAATTTATGCTTTTGTATATAGTTTTCTATTTTCTTAACGTCTTCCTTCTCTTTTTTATACAAGTCCATGTAAAATTTCTGAAAATTTTTCCTAATTTCCTTAGGCTCTTCCACTGTCCCATCTACATCTTTTATCTTACAAATTGTATTTTGTTTTTGTTTAACCTTTAATTGCTATGCCAAGAGTTTCCCAATTTTGTTGGCCAATTCAAAATTCATTTGTCTCATTGTCATTATTCTCCACTCTACTTCCTGGTTTACCACCATGAAGAACTGGGTCTGCAACAATTTAATACTTTGTTTTATTGACTCATCCTTTAGTTTTATTGTTAGCAGTCTCTCATTCTCCATGAGATGAGCCAGGATTTCTTCTTTCTTCTTCTCCTTTCCTCTTTTCTGAAAACTGTTCTTTTGAATCAAGAAACCTCGCATCACTGCTTTGCTTGCATCCCACACTGTTTCAATAGGAGTTCCTTTATTTAAATTCCATTTAAAATATTCTGCAATTGCCTCGTTTGCTTTTTCTACTATCTTTTGATTGTTGAATAAACTTTCATTCATTCTCCATCTGAAAGATGTGGGGTCTTTCCCTTTTAGTTCTATATATAGTGAATTATGCTCCTTGGGGATATCTCAGTTTTTGAAACTCTTGGAACCAACTGCTTAGAAATCCAAAGTTATTCCATTCTGCCAGAACTTTGATTTGGTTCTGAAAAGAAAGTGAACTGTTTTGTTGTTGGGTTTTTGAGTCTCCAAATGTCAATTAATCCCATAGTATTTACCATGTCAAAGAATATTTTCGGTAGTTTGCCTTCATTTACATTTCATCTTTTCCCTGATCTGTCTAAATCTGGAATAACCACTCCATTAAAGTCTCCCATTAACATCACTCTCTGATCCATACTATCTCTAATAGTATTTCATTAAGTTTTAGGTAAAAGTCAGCTTTCTTGTCAATAGGTGCATAAATTCCCGCAATGATCAGCTTTTCACCTTGGAACATGATTTGTACAATCAACACTCTCCCTACCTCATCTTTGTAAATTAATTTTGGATTGTATTTCTCTTTTATGTACAATACCACCCTTCGTTTTTTATTTATGTCTGAGGTTATAAAGTCTCTCCCCAACCTTTTGTTACTTAAAATCTTTTTGTTTCCTTGCAACATGTGTTTCTTGCAAACAAATTTTGTTCTAAATTCCGTTTAATCAAAACATGTTCAGTTTTATTCCTTTTATTTTTATTGTTAAATCCATTCACGTTCCATGATATTATTTTCAGAGCCATTATCCAATTTATTTAAGTCTCTTGTCAAATTTAAGTTAAGTTTGGGGAGCTTTGTTATTATCCTCTTTTTCTTCTTCTTCTTCCTCCTCCTCCTCTTTTTCTTCTCTTCTTCCTTTTTTTCTTCTTCCCTCTGGTCCTGTCCTGGTCTTGCTTTCTCTATTTTTCCCAACTCTTTATCATATCTCCAGGAGAATTTCTCTAGTTCTTGAAGGCTACTTAATTTGAACCTTTTGTCTTTGTAATAGAAGGAAATTCCTTCCAGGAATTCCCACCTATGCTGTATCCCATTTTGCTTCAACAATCCAACCAGTTGTTTATAAATGTCCCTTTTTCATAAAAATCTGGATGGAATCTCTTTAAATATGATAATTTTCTTCCCTTCAATACATAAATTTCTATTATAATTCAATCTCAGAATTTCATTCCTCATATCCATTAAATTAAACATGACCAAGACATCTCCTGGTAATTTCTTCACTTTTGCTTTTGCTGACTTTACTTTCATTCTAAATGCATTTCCAATTGTAAATCCGATGTCTTCTTCTTTTAAATATATCCAAATTGATAATTCTCTAATTATTTTGGCCCTTATATTCTGATTTGCTTCCTCGGGGATTCCTCTAAATTTCAAGTTCAATTGTTTTTGTCTCATCTCCAAAAGAGCCATATTATCCAACATCACTTCTTGTGTTACCTCTCCTCTGACCTGTTCTGTCTCCCTCTTTGTCTTCTTCAATTCTTTCTATGTTTGACTCATTGAGTCTTCCAGTGTCTTAGATCTAACTGCAAGATCTTTTACTTTACTTGTCAATTCCCTCACTACTCCCTCTAGTTTCTTATCTAAAGTCTCCATAACCTCCAATATTTTTTCTCCATATATTGTTCATTTTGTTTGAATTCCTTCCTTATTTCCACTATTAAACTGTCATAATCTTTAATTTCCTTACCATCCTTTCCCATTTTCCTGTCTTTCCCCTGGGGTGCCCGTTCCCCTTTTCCCAGCCATAGAATCTTTTTTACTGTTAAAATCAATAACCAATTTTTAAATTCTCCTAGGCAATTTTACTATCCTCTTCCAGGGGTTGCAAATCCGTTCTAACTTTTCTCTTAGGTACAGTTCCCCTCAACTCCACTCGGTGGCAGCTAATGCATAAACGCCAAGTCCTTAAACAAAGTTACTTTCGATTTCTTTCTCTGCCACGATGCTGTGTTCAAAGAAAGGCAAGAAAGAAAATAAAAAGATATTTGTAATCCAGTTGAAGTTTATTATTTTTCAGCCACTTGTCGGCTTAATCCAAAACAGTGGATATCCCAGGAGACCAAATATTTGTAATCCAGTTGGGGTTTTTCTTATTTTTCAGCCACTTGTTGGCTTAATTCAAGGCAGTAGATAGCCCAGAGAACCGACACAAATTCCAAGTGCAATTAAATACAGAGTTTCCGGCACTCTCCTCCGATAGAAGAGCAGAGGGGTTTTTTGAAAAAAAGTCCCGACGACAAAGCTCCCTTCCCCTAAACTGTGATAAACCAAGTGAAAGCCTTTAGCCAAGTCTTACACTTTTCCAAAGTTCCACAATAGTTCACTAATCAAAGCCTTTGCTGATTTTTGCCCGCTAGAACTGGCAAAACTTTCTCCGTCAGAAAATGGTGGAGTGTGTCGAGTTTGGATTTTAAGCCACTGACAGGTTGCACTCCGACCAGAACCAAAAGGGAGACTCCTCCACTCTACTTCACTTGCCACAAAGTTATTTCTTATAAAAAAATCAGCCTCGGCACTTTAAACAAAGTAACCGAGGTCTTTTAGTAACACTCACTCAGCAGATACTTTCTTTCCTTGCTCCTCACTGCAGCCTTCCGCCATATGCCATCTTCTCCCAGCTGCCGGGACGGACTCCCTTTTTTCGCCCCTCAACGCTCCAAATCTTAATAAGTTAAATTTCAATGCGATGGTCAAATAAACTTTCCCAATTATAGTTCCAGGTTCTTTTTTTTATTATTCTTGGAAGCTTGCCACTTTCATTAGAAGCCTGAGACTGCACAGCACGGGGTTAGTGCTGCCTTCCCTTCGTGCCTGCAGCTTGATCCCATCTCTGGATTTATTAGCAAAACCCAGGGAGCAGGAGAGCATGACCGGGCACTGCCGGGTGCCACATCCCCCAAGATAATCCTCTTGAGGTTCCGAGGTCCGCCTAGCCTTCGCTAAACTTCTAAAACACCCCGTGTTGCTCTAGATTCCCCGGAGGGCTATCTTGCACTTCTTTTCAATGGCTGTGGCTCCGCCGGAAGTCTGCATTTTTAATTTTCTAAATATATGTAAACCACTTGGAGTTCTTGGATAAATATTTATTTTGCGAGGAATAAATATAAGAAATAAGAATAAACATATAAATAGCAATTTGAAGGACTGTCCATTTCTGTGCATTGACTTCCACTGTGGTCTCATTATGAATCAGGTCCCTCACCCCTGCAATTTGCACTTGACAGAAACTCCCTCTAAATTGAACCTGTGAGGTGAAAGACTAATGACTGTCCAGTCATGAAACACTCTCAGTTTCTGATCCCAAAGTACTTTTTCAATAACTGCTGTGGCTGGTGCATTACTCTCTCACCTCTTATGACAAGTTCATTATGGTTTCGCTAAAAGGCAACTCTGTTAGAAACATGACCTAGATCAATTCTGGCTGAAGAGTAAAGACAGAGACTTGCTTTGGTAAGCTTCTATAAATGGCATACACCTCAGTGCACAGCACATCACGCCACAACCAAGCTTACCTTGAAGTGGCGTACCAACCATGCTTTGTAAATGACCACATAAAAGTTCCCGCAGTGAATCCCATGGCAAAATCTGTCTTTGCTGCCAGCTCAGCCAGGATTTTGAATGCTGTCTTTAAGAACAAAATTGTTTGCAACGTCTTGCTTTTCATCCTCCAAGGTGGTTCTCAAGGCTGTTTTCCTGGTCCTGAATCACGACATCAGCTCCCGAATCTGTGATGTGGCCCTCAATATTGTGGAATGCCTGCTTCAGCTTGGTGTGGTGCCCTGTGTGGAGAAGATCAGAAGGAAAAGTGACAACAAAGAGAATGAACCCAGTGAGAAGAGACAAAGCGAGACCTCCTTCCAACTCAAGGGGGCTCTGAGTAGTTCAACCTCTGGATTTGGGGTTGCCCCAGCCAGCGCAGCTGGAGATGGCGGTGGAGAAGGAGGAGGAGGAGAAAGTGGTGGAGGAGATGGAGGAGGAGGTGACGGAGGAGGAGAAGGTGGAGGAAGACCTTATGAAAAGAATGATAAAAAGGAAGACAAGGTAAATGTTGGTTATATGAGGCTGATTAACCCACCGTTCATTGTCTTAGATTGGATTGTCTGGGAGCACAAAAACAACCTGGAATGCTATATACATCTGCTTCATGCAATAAAATGGGATATTGTTGTCTCTTCCCCCCTGTTGCTAAGGAGGAAAGCACTCCAGCAAGCACACACAGGTTGGCCCTGACAATGCTGATAAAAATTGTGAAGTCTCTGGGCTGTGCATATGGCTGTGGAGAAGGTCACCGTGGGCTCTCTGGAGACCGGCTGAGACATCAGGTATGCCATGGCAGAACAATGGATGGAAGCAGGATTCTTAAACCATTTTGTAGAGTTCCTGGTCTGAGTAGCTCACAACGTTCATCTTGGTCTGGAATTGTATGCGGAAGGCAAGACCTTCTGCACTCATGATTCTTAACTGTGAAGCCTGTAATTTAGCACCAGAGGACAGGAGTGAGTAAGGGGCATTGTGCTGTATGTGAATGCTCCAGTTAGAAATAGAGGAATCCCTCCTAATCTGCCCCATCTTGCTTCCACATGTAGACATTTAAAAACACACCCCAGCACATTTCTGTATAGCTCTTTTAGGATAATTCCAGGGAAATTCTAAAAAGTCCACACACAAACTTTTGTACAAACACACTTGAATATTTGTGAGTTCTAATGGCATCCTGCCATTTTTCTTGCTTATTTGCACTCTGGTCAGTGACCGAAATAAATTGATTCATTCTTGCTTATAACAGTGTAAAGCTGGTTAGAACAGCTTCAAAGCATGGCACCTCTGCCACACCAGGTAAAGATGCTTTAAAAATGATGCAGGAAGTGGTCACACAGTACTTCCTGTGTAATTCTGTGCACAAAAGACCACCATCCATTCAAAACAACGGCTGCCCCCGTGTTGTACTGTTGGGCAACCATTTTTTTTAACCATTTACATCAATGCCCACTTAATGGGACTGCATCATGGTCAGCTTTGGTTGAACTGCTCTGATTTTTCAGTCTGTGTGTACGTGTGCATGCATTTGCGTGTCCTGGCTAGACTGGATCCAATAGCATCTGGAGAACTGAAAGAGTTGGCCAAATGGAATCCAAGATTAACCAGTCATCCCTAAGACACAGCATCCTCGATAGGGCAAGACTTGCCAAGACTGTACCCCTTGCTGGCACTGCATGGGAACCAAAGTTTGGTGTGGGAGTTGAACGAAGGGCAGAAATGCATGCTCTGGGTGACGCACGGCTCCCCTATGAAAATCGCAACCCTGTGTGTCCATTCATCTCTCCTGTCATGTGTTGTAATAGATAACCCATGACCAACTGTTATCAATTATTTTTTTGTCCCTTCACATTGAAGCTCTGTCACTGGGAGCATTTTTTACGCCTTCTCATTTAGTACACATGGCCAATGAAGAGGAGATGCAGGGCTGTTCCAGGCTCAGTTTCTTTCTTTGTTCTCCAAATAATACATGGTTGCTGTCACCAGAACCTAAGTGCCTGATCTTCCCTCCATAGGCTCAGAATTGCCTCACAAAGTTGTACAAGCTGGATAAGATGCAGTTCCGGCAAACCATGAGGGATTATGTAAACAAGGATTCACTCAACAATGTGGTGGATTTTTTACATGCCTTGCTAGGTTTCTGCATGGAGCCAGTCACTGACAGTAAGTATAAGCTATTGTTGGAAAGCCCTCCCTCCCCACTTTATTTTTCTTTTTTTCCTTTAAAAAAAGATCTTCCTCTACTCTCCTTCCTTCCTTCCTTCCTTCCTTCCTTCCTTCCTTCCTTTCATTTGATGTCCTCTGCTATGGACTGTTGTCTGGGCCCAAAGATTGCACACACATGAAACTGGTAGGTGGGTGGTGGAAGGACCCCAAGAGAGATGCAGGGAAGGGAAGATCTCACAGGGTGAGAGACTGGGAGAAGAAAGGAAAGGTACCAGGTGACAGCTGGGAGGGTCCACCGCTTTCTGAGTGAGATAAGGGTTAAGAGCTACCTTTGAGAGAAGAATATGTGTTTTTGTTTTTATTTAGATTAGCTTATTTTATCTTATTGTATTATGGAAAAGCTTTAATAAAACCTTAGTAAATATAGGCTGTTATCATAAGATTCCTTAAGAGAAATGACACTGCTACAAAACATAGGAGCTGTAGATGTCAAGAGTATTATTGATTCAGATTTTGCCATTTTTTTGTGAAAACCGAACAGTTCAACTTGACTATTTAATGCTTGCGTTTTGCAGACAAGGCTGGTTTTGGAAATAATTTCACAACAGTGGACAACAAGTCTACTGCCCAAAGTGTGGAAGGTATTATTGTTAGTGCCATGTTCAAATCGCTTATCACCCGCTGTGCCTCTACTACACATGAGCTTCATAGCCCCGAGAATCTGGTAAGGACAACACTGAAACCCTAGCACAATTAATTTCACTCCATACTGTTTTAGTGGCCTAAGTATTGATACTATTGTTGACCTGAGAGAGCACCAGACAGAGTTCATCCATAAGGAAAATGTTGACTGTGTGCACTTCTTTTGACTCCAGTTTTGACAAAGATTTCCAATTAACACAAATTTAAATCCTCTGTATACTAGAGCTGTGCCACTTCTCTCAGTGGAAAATCATGTTGCCTTCCAGAATCTGCTCTGCAGTTCTCAAAATCTTTATGTAAAATATCCACATTTGTTTCTAATCCAATCACCGTTAATTTACCTGAATGAGTTTTTTCCATGTTGGGTGAGATGATGGCAACTCTTGAAAAAGCCAAAACACTTTATTGGTTAAATTTACTTCATATTTTTGAGATTCTTAGTTACGGCTGCTTGAAAACGAAAGGACCGAAGCTTGGGCCAATATTGCTTCAAAGCATGACACGGGGGAAATGATTATGATGTTTGCTTCAATTGGCTTCCAAACACATTAAATCTTCCATTCTTTTTTTTCCTTTTCACTTTCTAATCCTGCACTCCATAGGGATTGTATTGTGACATCCGACAACTGGTTCAGTTTATCAAGGAGGCTCATGGGAATGTCTTTAGAAGAGTAGCCCTTAGTGCCCTTTTGGATAGTGCTGAGAAGTTGATACCAGGAAGAAGAGCAGAGGAAACAGCTGAACAGGAGCCCAAACCATCAGGCAGTAAAAGGTTTGTAACCGAAGTGCAAAACGCACAGAGATGTTTGAGTGATGCCCTGTCCTACCTTTCCCCTAATGCAAATGTGCAGAACCAAGCACCTCAGCATAAGGAGTATGCAGGAGTAAGGAGATAAATGATATTCACACAATTTTGCTAGGGCTTAAAAACTTTTATAACACAAATCTTCTCCTTCAGACCTTGTTGATATTGATGCAACAGAGAGCACAGTTTAGTGTGCTTGAAGTCCAATGAAATCCATGGCTCTGAAGCACACTTAAGGGCTGCACACAGATTATTCATCATCTCAAAGTTCGCCCCATTAGATATCCACAAAGCAGGACTGAAGGACTCTTGACTTAAGCAGACACCTCAAGTTTGATCATAATTTGTACCTGTGAGATCCAGACTTAAAGCTCACTCTGCAGGCTTGTTTCTTTCTAGAGAGTGTTTGAAAAGTGGAGTGTGGTCCTATCCACATTTATGTTGCAATTCTATGCATATTTACTAGGGAGTTAGTCTTCTTGAGCACAGCGGGACTTACATCTGAGTATGTATCAAGCTGTGAGTCTTTAAAAGTGGATCGTCAACTATTTATTGCACATTTTGAGCACCTCAGTGCATGTTGCCTGTCATGACAGATTTGTGATGGCAGTGCATACAGATGAGGCAATTCCTAGAATGGGAACATGGACCTCCAACTTCATATTACAGGAACACAAGGTAGGGGTTTCAAAAAAAAATATTACTGTACATGTGGCTGTTTCGTCTGCATAGATCTGAAGTGGGAAGTGTTGTTGTTGACAAAGGACAACCGTCTTCAGCTCCCGATGAATGCCGCAGTTACATCTCAAGCCGCCCAATGCAGACTCCAGAGCAGTAAGTAAATATTTTGGAGCTCAAAGGTATATTCAGTCTTCCCAAGAAATCTGGTAAGCATTCTAGTCACCACCATTAGATATTCTAGCCTTAATTGATGTAACCCACAAATGTTCACCCTTCTGAGCATGAATTGTGCTGACACTTTAACAGACAGGCTACCATCATGAATTGTTCAAATCATGGATAAGTATGGAATGTGGGACTGGGTCATCTGTGAATCCATTTGTGAAATAATATAATAATATTTTGTTCCCGGCCCGTGTGTGTTGGCAAATCATGTATAAGCAACCCCACCCCCACCCCATTATGCCCTGCCCCATCCTGTTACACCTTTTTTGTGACACATTTAGTAATGTTTTCAGTCACTTCTGGGTTCAGTGCTGTGTGTGTGTGCATGATTACGTGTTTTTCGGACACAGATTAATCCAGGGGTTGGCAAACTAAGGTCCGCAGGCTGGATCAAGCCCAATTGCCTTCAGGATCTGGCCCTCAGACTGTCCTTGGATCGGCGTGAGGATTCTGTTCGTTTGGGCTGCACCATTCCCCCCCCCCGCGCCATTCCATTTCTCCCCCCCACACACACCCTGTAGTGGCGCCTCCTCCCTCCCTCCTCCTGGCTTCTCCCTGCCCTGCCTAGAGGAGGAAGGGAGCTGGCTGAGTGCCATTTTAAGTAGCCCCTCTCCAGAGCCAGCCCTTTCGCGCCGCTCATCATCCGTCTGCCTGGTGCTCCTGTGGGCCAGAGAGTGGAGCAGACGAGCTCACTCTGCCTACCCACAAGAAGAAGTGGTGGTGGTGGCGGCAGCCCCTGGGAAGGTAGGTGCAGCAGCTAGGGCTGGGGGGTGGGGACTTCTTGCCCCCCTCGCCTCTTCTTCTAGCTCCCCCTCCCCCGGTGCTGCTTCTCCAGCCCGCGACAAGGTGTGAGTGACAGTGGACCGGCCCATGGCTAAAGAAATTTGCTGATCCCTGCATTAATCAGTCATCGCCTGTAGTTGAAGTAACGAAGGATGAGGTTATCAATGTCTACACGAGGGGCAGAATTGAGCTAAGTTGTTGCATGCATGGACTGAGGTCTACTTATGCAATGGATTTCCCCCTCTCCTCCCCCTGCACCCATCCCCCTAAAGCTGCCCTGGAGGATTAGGAACTGCATGCAATGGAAATCAAATTTCCCTCGCACTTTAAAGATTTTTGTGTGTTTAGGGGGTTTTTTTTGCAACAGAGATGTGGGTGTAAATAATACATGAAGTCAAAAACATCTTTTGGTATGTCTTAATTTGTAAATAAGAGGTATGGAGTCAATCTCGTCTGAAGATCATAGCTGGATTCATTTAAATGGAAGCTCTTTCTCTGTCCATAAATGTGCAGAGAATTTTTATTTTTATTTTTTGAGGGTGGGGGGGACAACGGCTTTCTGCACCTGTGTAATGCCACACTTTCCTAAGTAAGTGCTGTATATTACCTATTGCAATGAAAACAGCAAAGTTAAAAATTGCTGCCTACCAAATCAAAACATTACCATCTGCCACTGCCTCCACTTCATTCTTCCAGCCTTCTTTCTTCCTTTCCCTTCCCCCTAATGACTTCTTTGTGCATAGTACTCAGTGCTGCAGTAGAAAATATCTAAGTCCATAGAAATAATTGCATTGGATTAAACTGAAGAGTGATTGTACAATTAGCAAAGGCACAAGAGATAATTACTCAGAACAACCCTGATTTGTGTATGGTTTGTTTATTTGGATATTTTGTTTCATAAAGCTCAATCTTTAATTTAATATTGCCCAAACAGTTAATGGCCAGCTCACTCAAGTTCTCATGCAGTCTGTGGTTGAAACATGGCCCCACAGAGGATTTGCCTGTTTACCCATAGCTCCATTGCTATGATTATGCCATCTGTCAGGGAGAGGAAATGAATCACATTTTTTAATGATATGGATATGATTACATTACTTCTAATCCTTACATTAAAAGAGTGGGCTGAGAGCAATGGTATGAAAATGACACATCCCTACAACAAGTGCTTTTTTTGTTGAAGAGTGTGTGTGAAATAATTATCATGAGCATTAGAGAGGATTCTTTCCAAAAGGTGATCAGTTGGTCCGTGGGCTGCTACTTCTAGCGCCTCGCTGTTTTGGCATAGCCCTTTATACCAGAGATGGGCAGAAGTTGGGTTGGGTTCCACTGGGAGATCTTAAATTGATTTACAGTAGATTGGTAAGGATTTCTCACTCCCAATAGCCTGACAATTGCAATCTAAGAAATAAAATCTTTTGTGACACCCAGCATTTAATAGCTTTACAACCCAGCCTTTGTGTTCCTTACCTCTAAAATGGATATTACTGGTAATTGGTTGCCTACAGCTGGGTCTTTGTGCAACTGTGCTAGCCAGTTTGAGAGTTTTGCGATCTGTGTAATTTCTATTTGTCTATGCAAATTATGGCAGTCAATGTCTTGGGGTGCAAAGTCACTATCTTGTGCTCTAGTTAGTGGAGCTTGTGATTCTAGTAAAAAAAAACAAACAGTCAGTACCATAAGCCTGTAGCTTTGGGCTGTGTTCATACCATACATGTAAAGCTCACCCCACCCCTAAAGAATCCTGATGCTGGGAATTGTAGCTCTGGGAGGGGTAAACTACAGTTCCCAGGATTAAATCTACAGCATGCTGTGTATGCAGCCTCTTACTATATCAAGATGGCTTTGGAAAACCTCTCTCTCAGACTTGACATTGCTCGCCATTTGCAGTACAGGGATAGTAACACTGGCCTACCTTACAGGGTTGTTGTAAGGATCAGAGGACCATGTACTGAGTGTTTATGAGAATCCAGAACACTAAGCAAATGTTAAGTAGAACAATGTTGTGCCTTACTAGCCTATTCTTGACAAAGCTGAGCACCAAAGAAAGCTAACAAAATGTCACACAATCCTCCAACCGCTAGAGCACAGTAGAAAAGGCAAGGTGCTCCCATTCTTTGTGCATTCCTGGGTACATTTGGCTAAGCGTTACAAACCATGCAATTTGTTCCATTGCAGTGATGAGCAGATGCAAGGAGCAGCCCTAGGGCGCAAAGATTTCTGGCGAAAGATGTTCAAATCTCAGAGTGCAGCGAGTGATACTAGTAGCCAGTCGGAGCAGGATACCTCGGAATGCACAACTGCACACTCAGGGGCAACCACTGAGAGGCGATCCCGCTCTCGCTCAAGGAGGATCTCACTCCGAAAGAAACTCAAACTCCCCTTAGGTAAATTTATGCCTCTTCGCATGATATTATCATATAACATTTAATATATTTACTATTTTTCCATGTATCAGTGCACAGACATTTTCAGAGAAATGTTCTGTTCATATTTTAGCATCACCTGGAGAATATATATTATTCAGTCTTCCTCCATATTTATTACCATCCATTTCTGTACAAAACCTCTTTCATATAAAACATGTGTGCCAACCTTTTGTCATGTGATGTAGCTTCCTTGGTACCCACATTTACTGCTGGTAGATTCACACACATGCTCACATTTTTCTATGTTCTCTGTACAAACAGGGAATTGGCTGAAACGCTCATCCCTTTCTGGTCTGGCAGATGGTGTGGAAGACCTTCTGGACATCAGCTCTGTGGACCGGCTCTCTTTCATCCGGCAGAGTTCCAAGGTAAATAAGTTTCCTTGAACTCATAGAGAGATGAAGAAGTATGGAGATATGCATAGTGCACTTGTTTTTGTCACGTCTCACTCCTTGTAGATGACCAGTAACAGTTGAATAAGTCTGAGGATGGAAAATGTGCACTTCGCAATACAGATGACAGTCTCTTAATTTGTTCTGCAACACAAAGACTAGGAACAACCCTACTGGAAGCTCGTACTTGATTGTTCTTAAAACCACCTTTTTCTGGGAAGGAGCCATGTATGGGTTCTAAGTTAGCATCATTTACACTTGTTAATGCTTGTGGGTGGTTTTAAGTATCTAAATGTTGTCCATTTCTTTTATCCACAGATGTGTTAGGTAGGTTGCTATTTCCCATTATGCACAGTCATAATCCATTATGGCTTTTCTGTGTGCATATTGGGACATTGACAAGAAAAAAAGCACAAAATCCATTCCCTTAGGCCATGAAGCAGAGGTGCTCAAAGAGCAAGTCTTTCCTTGTAGGACTCCAGCTGCCCACATTTAGCAGCAAATGAAGGCCAAGGCACATGAGTTTTTGTCTTGCAGTAGACCCTAGTGGGTTTCATTCTTCAACTTATGCCCCAGCACTTAGCAGTAAGTCTTTTGGGAGCTTCAAAATGTTGCATGTAGAAGAATGGGAATGAGGGACTGTTACATCAGAAGAAGCTAAAGAAGGGGCATTAACAATGAATGGCACACCTTCTTTTTGTTTAGGTGAAATTCACTAGTGCCGTGAAGCTGTCTGAAGGAGGGCCAGGAAGTGGCTTGGAGAATGGACGAGATGAAGAGGAGAATTTCTTCAAGCGTCTTGGTAAATGGCGCACCTGCCGAAGACATCCATCCAAGCTTCATCACACAGAAGAAAAAGATGGTTAGAAATCAGGGTTCTGTTTCTTCAGTCCTTTTTTGCTTCCCCTCCCCTGCTGCATTCTTTGGTTACTTTTCTTCATCAATTTATCCTTTATCTTTTTTTAAACATGGTTTTTGAACTCATTCTGCTTCTCTCTCTGGCTCTGCATACTTTGTAGCCATTTTTGTTCCTTTTTTTTCCTTTTTACGCCATTTTGATTTCAGTGTAATTCTAACCAAGAAGGAAAAGCAAATATGGGCCAATAAATTAAACTAAAGTAACATTTGGACTTCCAAAAAATCAAGCCCTCTAGCTTTAGGGGGGAAATTTGGAAATCATTTGAAAGCAGGGGTCTGATTTCAAACATATTATGCTAAAATTTAATTTCACTCTTTGATGTGAAATTATGAATGCGCCCATCAGCTTTTATCTCCCATTATTGATCATCTACCATCTTCTGTAAAGCTCAGCACTGATGAAATGGAAAACCCTGTACAAAATGTGTTTTAATTATCTCTTTTCTTCTGTGTTTGCATGTCTTGTGTCTTCATACCATTTCTTAGAGAGATGCTGTTCTGCATTCTCAACAAAATTACTATTCTTTGAGACAAACAATTAATTGCTTTGTTATTTTTAAGCAGTGGCATCTGAAAAAAGCACTTTCTTTCCTATTTTGGAAAAAATGATAGGAACTGTATTCTTCCAAGTACTTCACTGCCATCCAGTTGCAAATGTGAGCTTGTTACCAAGGAAACAACCTTGCATCTTGACATTCTTCTATTTTTGTATTGGAAAAGGAACACAGCATCCCATCTCAATGAGTTTTGTTCTGTATTTTTCATAGTACTCAACATAATCCGACATTACATATTGCATTGTCAAACATGAAAGTTACATTACTACATCAGTGTATTTTTCCTTTGGCCATTGCTCCATCACACAATGCATTTCTAAACAAAGAGGGGTTCTGTACCAAATAAAGTGGCTCTTGCTATTAGACGCTGTCCAAATGGAAAAAGTGGTTGGGCTCTTCCTGACTGTACTTAAGTCAGAAGGACTTTGGTCTTTGACTCCTCCCCTTTGAACAGACCCCAGTGCCATGTCATCAACTGGTTTGAAAGTCCCCTCAGTTTCAAAAGATGCATTTTTCAATATGCTATGGGGAGGAGTTTCTGTTTGAGAAGTGCAAGCTCTGTGGCTGCAAATAGGTTTATTGTTTGGAAATAGACTACTGTGTTAAATTATTTGAACTCAGAGTATAGTGCCTGGACCCAGGTCATTGTATAACAGATTTCAGTGTCAAAGCTGAAATGTTTGTGTTTAACTGTGAGCTGGAGACAAGTAGCATGAATTTCAAAATCCAGGTGCTAGAATTCCTCTATGGAAATTCAGTTTTTAAAACTGAATGGGAAATTGTTCATTTTTAATTTTGAGACATTCATGCTAACAGAATTGTAATCTAAGCCCTTACGGCTATCATGTTAAAATAGGGATAATGCTTGATTCTGCCCTCTCCAGTTCGAGTCTACTGAGCCTCATCAGTCTGGCAGTACCTGGTCCTGCTCTGGTGAGGTAGCACTGCTGTTTTTAATAAGTCCTTCTATTCAGTGACCACCCATCAATATACATTATGTAAACCTTGAAGTTTTTCTCTCTCTACTACCCCATTGTAGTGAATGGAAGTGGGCACTCAGGAACTCACCTTGCCCAATATAGGAGGGAAGAGCAAGTTAAACAAAAGATTTACAACTCAGTTCCACCTTTCCATGTGCCAGTAATGCAGTCACGTTATTATTCAGAGTGTGACAGGATGGTGGGAGAGGAGGACATAATATAGGTTTTGGTAGATAGAATCATAGAATTGGAAGGTGATTTGAACATCATTTCCCACCAGGCTAGCTGGAAAGACTAGCTCATTGAAGAGAGAGGAAAGCTTTAGCCCTCTTGCAGTACGTATGTTCCTAAGAGGGGATCAATTGGTTAGTAGATATTATGCTTTAATCTAGGCCAGTTGCACCCCGTTCCTCATCTCTTTGCTGCCCCCTGGGAAAATTCCAAACACCCATCGTTTGCAGCAGTTTGCCACCTAGCACTGAGTCAGGCCATAGCCCAATATAGTTGACTGACTGGCAGCAACTCTCAGGTGCAGGTCTCTGTTAGCCCTACCTAGAGACAAGGGCTGTTGAACCTGGGACATCTTGTATGCAGAGCACATGCTCCACCCATGAGTTACAGCCCTTCCCAATTAATATAATCACTACTTCAGCATTGCTTCTCCTCTCCCTGGTTTTGAGAGGAATGTGGGTGGCATAGCTGTCAAGTGTCCCTTATTTGAAGGGACAGTCCCTTATTCCAGCGCCATGTCCCGCTGCTGTCCCTTATTAATGGATGTCCCTTAAATGTCCCTTAAATGATGTCCCTTAAATTTCAAAGGAAGCAGCTCCTCTCCCTCCCTCCCTGCCGGCCAGGGAGGAGGGAGGCTCCAACTGTGTTGCTTGGCTGTGTTGCTCACCCAATAAGAAGTCTAAGAATGACTGTGGGGTGGAGCTTGCATGCCTTGTGTGTGGCTAGTTAATGCAAGCTGAGGGGGGTTTTGAGTGCTGGATGCCATTTTGTTGCATGTGCTGCTGCAAACTTTGCAGTGCAAGGCCAGGCCGGGGAGCCATCTTAAGTTGAGGCTGCATAGGCCTTGTGGTGCATGTGATTCAGATTCTATTCAGTTGAACCTCTGGTTACAAAGTTGGTTGGACAGTGTTCTCAAAGCTACCCAGCATGAGTTTGACCAGACTGCAGGAGGACAGGAAGACTGGAGTGCCTGGAACAGGTGAGGCTGCAGGTCCCTTATTTTGGCTGCTGGTCCCTTATTTTCAAATCTGTAAGTTGACAGCTATGGTGGGTGGTCTTATTCCACCCCCACCCTGGTTTATTGCAGCCAGCCATTCACACTATATGGCCTTCCAGCTTCTGCATTTCACTTACCATGAAATTCTGGGACTGAAAGCTTTGCTTGCCATATCTGAGTGGAGGAGGTCTGACTAAAAAGAGTCTCAAGGAAGAATAAGTGAGGGAGATCTGTGGTGTTGTGGAGAACAAAGAGGTAGCATTTGAGGTGCAGAGAAAGGTGTAATGGGATGCAGAGAGACCTGTGTGGCAAAGAAAGCATGAAAAAGGGGAGAGGGAAACAGAAGTGCACAGAAACCTGACGGTGGAGAGACAGAGAAAAAGAATGAAGGAAATAGAGATGGTCCCGTGTTACAGAGACCCGGAGTGATGCAGAGAGAAGAGTGCTATGGATTGCAAAGAAAAAGAGGTTGAGAAGAAGGGGTTGCAAGGAAACCTGTGGGTGGGGAAACAGAAAAAAGAGAGGCATAATAACAAAGGTGGAAGCCCCAACCTGTGGTGGTGGTGCGGAGAAAGAAAGAAAGTAGAGCATGTGCTAGGGAAAGCACTAAAGGATAGAGAACTGACTGGAGAAAGAAAAGGAGTTAGCAAAAGGGTGGTGTGGTTCTCAGAATGACATTTCTGCATCTCTGCTCTGAAGTGCTGCCGCATTACTGTGCATTACAGCAACTGCAGACATTGTTCTACCACAGCAATCATTTTCTACTAGCATTGGCTTAGGTATTAGTATGCGGACAGTTACATGCATTTAGCCCCACGTTTTACTAGAGCTTAAATATGAATTACTCCTATACTGCAACCTTAACTGTGTGGCCAGGCACTGTGCCCCCCCCCCCGACTTTATAATTAAGATCCAGACAAGAAACAATACTTTTGGGCCAAATAAGGCCATAACTTTATTGATTCCAGATGTAAGAGGTTTAGCATAGGCATTAGCCCATGTGTTGGCAGTATTACCGAAGGGGTTGACCCTGAGGCAGGGAGGACCTATGACTTATATCAAATAGGATTCTCTCAGCAGAATTCTTGTCTTGACGGGTTCTATGGTCCTGGACCCCACCTGGGCGTCCAGACAAAAGCTCATCCTGCCAGATCCCTTTACTGGGATACACCCTTTTCTTGGAGGAGCAGGCAGAGAGTTCCAACCTCCCCTCCAACTAAGGCTAAGGCCAATCCACAACCAAAGTTGTGATGATTGTTATGTGGTAGGCAAAACCCCCTGACTGAGCCAATTTGCCTGAAGGAAAATTCCTGCCCAGCCCTGAATACGTTGAGCAATAATGTCCATAGCAAGGTAAAGTAGATAGCCAACAGTAGGCTAAAATAAGGGTGGGCGGAGGGAGATCTGATGAGGAACTGCGTGTGGAGCAGGGAGTTGGGTCTCTTTAAATAGTTGAGGTTCAGACCGAGGTGAAACCTGCTGGTTCAGTTGGGCCTCTCTCCCTCCCAATCAAGAGCCTGCCTCTTAGCCTGCTGGCTATTGGCTAATTCAGCCAGTAGGCTTGAATCTGCTTCCAGGCCGACAAGGTGAACTGTTTTGACTCCACACCAGTTGGAAAACCTCCATTAAAAGCAGTTCTGCATTGGATAGCATGGGGGAGAAGCAGGGCTGGCCTGCAATGCTGGCACAACTAGAAGTAAGGTAAGCGGACTTCTCTCTGTGTGGTTACTTTCTATTTATTTTATTTTTAAAGTAGGTGGGCCAATGCTTTAAAGTTAGTGCACACTTTTGAGAGAAGTGTTCTGTGAAACCCAGAAGCTTGTGTCACCTTCAAAAACCACCCATTGACATGTGTCTTTGAGAGAGATCTATATGTCCATTCTTACTTCTATCAAAGGCGCAGACATGGGTGGGGGACTTTAAAAATAATAATAATAATAATAATAATAATATAATAATAATAATATAATATAATTATTATTATTATTATTATTATTATTTATATCCCGCCCAATACAACCCAGATTACAGCAACATGAGGACCTGAGGTCAGACAATGCACCCACACCCTTTACTTTAGTTCTTTGCTTTCATCCTTCGGTGGTGCTTCAGGAACAACTTTCCCAACCTTTTACTTCTCTTGCACCTGTTTCATGGCACCTACCACCTGATCAGTGGGGCCAGCATCCATCTTTGGCTTGATTTTGCCTTGGTTGTAGAGGCCAGCTACACTTAAGAGCTCCACCTTCTCATTCAGGTAGCCCAGATAGTAGCCACAGATGACTTAAAGTAATAGGATTTAACTTAGTCATGACTTAATCCTTTGATTCAGTCTGACTTGACCATAGCTAACTTTAGGAGGCAAAATTTCTACTGGTGTTCAGTAATCTGCATGCTGAAAGTAGGCTCTGAAAGCCTCTTCTTGGTTTTGAAAATTGTGTTCCCATGGAGTAACCATATTGCCTTATGACTGCCGCATTTAAGCAGCTGCCATTGCAGATAATGTGCTTTCAGAGTTGTGGATCAATGGCTCTCAAACTCCAATGGAACTGAGAACACTTGTGATAAAACAGTATGTATTTTCCCATTTTCCACATTGCTAGCTAAGATGATTTTTTGTCCTGAGAGACTTCAGAGATATCATTGCAGTGATGGATAATCCTCATGCATATCTCAATCCTTATGTTAGGGTCTGGTGGTCATGCACAGGGGTAAATAGATAAGACTCACATGTTCCAATATCATTTGCAAGACCATTTTATGTTTAAACTTTTGTGGGGCCTTCCTTTCCCCTCTCTCCCACAACCCCCTTTTGTACTCTTTTTGAAGGTTGTCAGACCTATGATGACCACCTCGCTTCCAACCAAGAAGGAAGCAAATCCAAGAACGTGGTGAACTTGGGTGCAATAAGACAAGGCATGAAGCGCTTTCAGTTTCTCTTAAACTGTTGTGAGCCAGGAACAATCCCTGATGCCTCTATCCTGGCAGCTGCCCTCGATCTTGTAAGTAACTGCATGATGTTTCTTGAACACTCTTCACAACCAATAATTCAATAATGCATAAGCTGCGATGTGAAGTGGGAAGAGATTTTTAAAAACACACAAGGAAAGTATGCAATAAATGCTAAGTACAAACAAGGAAATTTTCGTGTATCTGCGAATATATACCTGGATAGGATATTTGATTTACTAGATTTGTGCTGCACCTAAAGAAAACAGCTCTTTTAATATTCAGATTTCTTTAAGGGTCCACATTTCACAACTATTACTAAGCCTCTATAAATGTCTTATAAACAGAAGACTGGTATATATGGCTCCAACTACTTTAACTCCGCAGAGATGTTCAGCTGATGCTATAAATAACTGAAGCAAGCCATAGCTGTGAGTCTCAAGTAATTCACTGTGGGGGGCAGAAGGGTAGGGGAGTCTTCAAAGCTTTCTGGTATATGACTTATTCATCGAATGGTGATTTGTGGATCCAAGGCCTAGATGATCCAAGCCCAGCATAGATGATGATTTTTCAATCTTGCAGTTGCTTCAGCTACTTTGTTCTTCTTGCTTTCCTTGCATCTCATTCACCCTCTGTGCCTTTGGTTGGTTTTACAGCGATTGTGATTCAGATCACTGCTTTGGTATTTAAAATCCCTTGTATTGCATGGCATGTATTTCTGCACATGCACACACGTTTACAATTCATTAGCATTATCATGTCAGTTCAGCTGGGCAGCTTTCTACATGCATCAGTTATTTGACAGCAGCTAGATTCAGGGCTTATCCACACTTACCTTTTCATAGAATCATAGAATCATAGAGTTGGAAGAGACCACAAGGGCCATCGAGTCCAACCCCCTGCCAAGCAGGAAACACCATCAGAGCACTCCTGACATATGGTTGTCAAGCCTCTGCTTAAAGACCTCCAAAGAAGGAGACTCCACCACACTCCTTGGCAGCAAATTCCACTGTCGAACAGCTCTTACTGTCAGGAAGTTCTTCCTAATGTTTAGGTGGAATCTTCTTTCTTGTAGTTTGGATCCATTGCTCCGTGTCCGCTTCTCTGGAGCAGCAGAAAACAGCCTTTCTCCCTCCTCTATGTGACATCCTTTTATATATTTGAACATGGCTATCATATCACCCCTTAACCTCCTCTTCTCCAGGCTAAACATGCCCAGCTCCCTTAGCCGTTCCTCATAAGGCATCATTTCCAGGCCTTTGACCATTTTGGTTGCCCTCCTCTGGACACGTTCCAGTTTGTCAGTGTCCTTCTTGAACTGTGGTGCCCAGAACTGGACACAGTACTCCAGGTGAGGTCTGACCAGAGCAGAATACAGTGGCACTATTACTTCCCTTGATCTAGATGCTATACTCCTATTGATGAGGCCCAGAATTGCATTGGCTTTTTTAGCTGCCGCGTCACACTGTTGGCTCACTGTTACCTTTTGCTCTGCACTTTGTAGGCAAAGGTCTGGGCGTTTTTTATTTATATTTTTGTCTGGCGCTTCTTTGCTCACTTCAACCAGTATTATTTCTCAGCATACAGTATTTTAAAAAAATCAATTAAAACATTTAAAGTGGGGGGGCTCTGTTCCTGGAATCCTTTTTTTAGTCTTTGCAGAGCCTCATTTCTAAGGGCCTACATACCATCACAACTTCAAAGCTACATATCTTCTTCCATATATAAAGTGGGGAGTGAGGCAAGAGGGGCTGCAGAATCAGTAAAATGACTTTCATCCATCCAAATAGCCTCCCTGCCCAGAGCCCAAGCACTGTTTGTTTGGATCAGGTACAAACAGGTCACATACCACCCCCGCTCCCCTTGCCAAATAAAAGGTCTTGTCTCTTTTGAAAATTGATTGATAGCTTCTTAAGGTCTCTTTGTTTAAGCTCCATAGGTATTATTGTGGCTTGGTTTACAGCCAGTATATCGCATGCATACACAAATGACAACTAGCATTTATGCACCCATTCCCATTCCCATTTTGTCTGGAGCCTGGCTCATGCCTTTTTAGGAAACTTGTGAACTGTACAGGCTCCCACTATCCCGTCTATCCGATGGATTCTGTGTCATGTGGTTTTTCTTCCCCGGGGATAGACAATACCAGCAAGGGACTAAGGGATGATGAGATTTGTAGTTCTCAAGTAGGCATGTTGCATGGGTAGGCAAACATCCCTGTTTCTCAAATTGCAAGTATTAAGAGTTTCAAATTACAAGCACCCTCTCTGGGCCTGGGCGAGTGGCAGGTAACTGTTCAGAACACTGCTTCTTCTCCGGCAATTGCTGTAAATCGCACATGGGCACGCCAAAAAGATACAGGGAAATAAGTTTGTATAGACACCTTCAAGCACATTCTTCAAATTCAACCTCAGTTTTCATCTTATGGGCTGCTTCCCTCTCCTTAACCTCTAGGGCTGAGTAAACTGCTGTCCCTCCTTCCCACAGTGCTTAGGCCTGCCCTGCACCTACTCATAGAATGGTAGAATTGGAAGGGTCCACAAGGGTCATCTAGTCCAACCCCTTGCAGTGCAGAAATATTTTGCCCAATGTGGCGCTCAAATCCATGATCCTGAGATAAAGAGTCTCATGCTCTGCTGGATGACCTGTGTCCAAAGTGTTTAACTGGGAGTTAAGTTTTGCCTTTGTTTTATCTTGCCATATTTAAAAGCAGCGAAAGAACTGTAATGGAGGAAGTGGGGAGGCCATTTTGTAAGCAGAATTTCAAAGAAAGTGCCCATCTTGTTAGAACTTTGTGGCGATGTTTTGCTTTCTGTTGTTGACCGTGAGTGGAGTGGTAACCTGTGGTTCTTTTCAGCTATGCATCTCCTGGCTGATTCATTTCTCCTCATTTGTGGTGTGTTTCTCTGTGGTGTGAATCCATCCTTACCCATTCTGTCACACATCTTCATCTTTCTCTCGCTGCTTCTTCAGATTGCTCTGGGTGTAAGGTAAGCTATTGCAGGGTATTTTCATAATACCTTGACATTCAGCATGCAAATTTTCTCTGAGGACAATGCTTATAACACTTGCTTTACGTGTAAGGATGGGTCAACAGGAATTTGCATCACAAGTCCTTTTGACTGAGAGACCTCTTTAGGCATAAGATCCTGCAGGAATTAATTATGCAATCAAGAACTAAGGGCCTTGTTGCCAGGCAATGAACTCCTTTTGAGCAGACCAGGGACAAACCATAGCTTACAGTTTAAAGCATGTTTAACTTGGCATGCTTAGAACTGCACATACCTATTTCTTTAGGAAAATGAACCATGGGAATTCTGAACAGGGGCACGACATGGGAGTAGATGCTCCCTGCAGTATGTCACCCCAAAACACCCCTCAAATGTGCTATTTGCACATGAAGGTGCTGGACCAGTTCCAAGCACATTTATTAAAACACTTTGTCCAGTGGCTGGGAAAACCTGATTTAGAACTCGGGGAACCCATGGCCATCCATATGTTGTTGGACTTCTCAGCCCAAGCTTGCATGACCATGCTCAAGGATGATGGGTTTTGTAGTCCAACAACATTTGGAAGACCACAGGTTCCCTCCTCATGCTCTACAGTAGGTTTTTCTCAGTTTTGAACTCAAGGTTGTCTTCTAAATGTACTCTTCTGTTCCATGCCCCTCTCTCCCACTAAGCAACAGCAAACTGCTTGGCACATGAACACTCAGAATCTGACCAGGCGAGCCTGATGGCTCTCTGCAGTCTTATGTTGCTGTTGCTATTTACTTAGTAAATTTGTATTCTATCCTTCATCCGTAGGTCTCAGGCCGTTTCACAGCATAAAAATACAATATGTATATATAATGAATAGAACAAAGTAGAATATGGACTTGCTTCAGGACCTGTTTGCATTTGAGGCTGGTTTTGTGGGAATGTCTCCTAAGGCACCTTTTGCCATGAAGGAATGCCCTGCCCTGGAATATTCATTTGGCTTCCACTATAGCATTCAGACTTTCCATTCCCGGCTGAAAACGTTTTTGTCCGGACAGGCATTTGGTCTGTTAGATACTTAAAGTTTGTTCTCTTGCCCTCCTCCACCCAATGCTCTTGTTCTCTCTTATTATTTGATTGGTGTTATATGCTGGTTTTTGTTTTTCATTTTTATTAACATTTTTTATGTCTTACTGAATTCTGTTGGGTTGTTTTTTGTGGATTGTTGTTTTGCATTTTGCATTGGATCTCATTGTGAATTGCCTTGAGTGTCTCATATTGGGACAGAAAGACAGGATAATTTCAAAGAAGGAATATATTCATTTTTACCCACAGCTGCATGGTAAGGTTCTGTGGGCCGGGGAAGTAACCCTCTGGAGTTAGTGGGGCTGCACTTTTAGCCCCGCCCTTGATGTTGAGTGATTTTCCTCTAACTGCGTGATAGGCATGGTTGTCTGTAGAGAGACCCCTCAGCATGCAAGTTCTTGTCTGCATTGGAGGAAATAGATGTAACCCCAGGGTCATCAGAATCAATACAGTAACATTTTAATAGAACCAGGCTCCCTCCCAGATACACACACACACACACACACACACACACGTTTTATAATCAGACCAACAAGTGTGATTGACATGATATCTGGTTGTCAAGCCAAATGACAAGAAGATCTTGTCGCACCTTAAGAACTAATAAATACACCGTGACATAATCTCTTCTGGGCCATAGCTGTTTCATCAAATATGGATTTGCAGCAGAATCAAGGGCTGATGGAGCCAATACCTGTGGAATGGTCTCTCTAACTTTTTAATTAATGGACTTTGGGGATGTATCATATTAAGAAATTAAATATGTAGCCTTTGCAAGTGAGAGGTTCAGCTGGAGAGGTTGTGGAGAGGTTATTATTACTCGTGTTGTGGATTTGCCACAAACCATAGGGCAGTAGTCAAGTAAGTTTCAAGTAGAACCACTGAAATTAATGGGTATGACTATGTTAGTAACATTAATTTCACTGGGTCTACTCTGAGTAAAACTTAGTTTAGTACAACCCATAGATCTTATTCCAAAGTGTCCTGTC